ATGTTTACAATGTGAACTGTTTTATACTTTTACAATTAATTAATTTTACAATATATCTTCTTAAATTGGATAAATATGATTTTATGTTAAACAATTTTTATATATATATTAACAAAATTATAATCACTAAATGACTTTTTTTAAATTTATTGATAACTTTAGTTTTGTGGTTTGTTTCATTTGTACACAAATATACATTAAGGTTTGCTTTGGCTATTCATAGCATAAATAATTATACATTTAAGTATATAATAATATACCTTGACAGATATGAGTATTACAATGGAGTAGTTTGTTTTATTGTTTATTACATATGAATGTATTTTAAAAAATGTAAAATGACAAAGTTGGTTACACATTATCACATAATCGGGTGGGGTGACACTTTATTGTGTACTTGAACCGCAGCCGTATGATACGACAGTCGGACAGTAATGGAAATTTACAGAAATACATTACCAACCGCAGAAATAGATAATAATACTACCCTGGACAATTTACACGGTGCCATCCAGTCCCAAACTAGGCAAAGATTGTGTTGTGAGTACTAGACCACTGATATATATATATATAGAATAGAAAATCATTTATTCAAATAAACTTAATTTAAGCACTTTTGAATAGTCATAACAATTTGTTTTTTATCTACCACTCTATATATATACTTAGATACATTTTTTTAGTAATTTCATACAGAATATACATAGGATTAGTAATATAATAATAATAATATAGGTAACTGTTATATGTTTGTAAAAATAGGATGGTAAAGACATTTTTGTTTCTGTGTGACAAAAAGAAATGCATGGAGTCAGTATGGGGTGTATTTATACTATTTTAGAAACTTGTAATAAAAGTAAATAATTAAATTGAATATGACGATTATGTAGGTCGTATTTTAATATTAATATTTTTAATATATCGACACCCCTACGTGCTTAGCTATCTATGCTAGTGTCGTAGCTCCCAAACAGACAGACCTATTTAAAATAGTTTTCATAAAGACTGGTTAATTCTTATCATATGTCGTAGTTACTTGAAGTTATATATTTTTTTATTATGTGTTGTCCAATATGCAAAACTGATGTTTTTAATTATAATTTTAAGCACTATTTTAAAATCAAGAAAAAGATAATTAATTTGAACCCTAATAAAACCTAATACATACAGACATTCATAGATGCCAAGTACTTACATGTTATCTTAATATTAATAGTATTAAAAATGCGAAAGTTTATGGGTATGGATGGATGTTTATTACTCTTTCACACAAAAAGTATTGAACGAGTTTTGATGAAACTTTACAATAGCTTATACATCAGAATAACATATAGGCTATAAATTTGACGCGGGTGAAACCGCGGATACAGCTAGTATGTCATATATCTATTCGACTTTAAATGTAGGAGATTCTAAAGTGGAATGTAAATATACCTCGTACAGTCGAGATCATTTTTTATATTTCTGTCTCGCCATGAACCTTTCCTTCATTCCGCTCTGAAATGCCTAGATGGCTGATTTTCCTGTTTCATCCTATATATATATTTTATCTTTAGAATTCAGACTAATGCAACTATTGCCGGAAGAAGTTTATCTATGCCTATTTTTCATTGTTAGAAAAACAAAATGGAACATAACAAATGTATATAGAGTGAAAAGTTTCCATTAGTATTGTTATGTTACACAGTGCAAATGGAATCGTCGTACGACCTTAGGTTTTATGATCGAGGCTAATCGTAAAAAAACGTAATGGCGATAACAACGAAATTAAAAGAGATCAGGCTGATGAAGCTATCGGTGGTCGCAGGTTCGATTCTTCGCACAGTACAAATTTTTGTATTCATGAGTATGATTATAATATGTATGTATTAACAAAAAAAAATATCTATATATATGTATCAGTTATCTAGTATTCATAACACAAGCTTTAGCTAGCTTAACTTGGGTAGATGGCGCTGTGTTAATTGTCCTAAGATTATTATTATTATTATTGTGTGCATTAAAGTTAAATAAATAAATAATAAATTAATTAATGACTTGACCAATGACAATAATTGATATATGTATCCTTGTAAATTTTGGCCCAATTGTTCAATAACAATTAGGCTAAAATTTACTTAATTATTGAAATCGGTCAAGTCATTATTCACTTTATTAATTACTACCTGTGCCCCCAGTTTCACCCGCTGTATATTATTATTATACATTACAATTTTTTTTATGTATGTTAGTCTATAAGGTATTTATAATATGGGCCATATAACCTGAATTAAATAAATATATAAAATGAGCAGTATTACTGTAAAGATCATTAAAATCCATTCAGTAGTTTTGCGTGAAAAAGTAACAAATATCCATCCATACTCACAAACTTCCGCTTTTATAATAATAGTAAGATTAATTGATATTTATACTTATGAAGAAAATAAACTATAGACTAACAAAGAATAGAACTTGTGAAATTACAACCTTCGTCTATAAAATAGGGTTTGGCGAGATGCATGGTGCTTATCTATGTGGTATGGTAGATACGTATATTTGCACTAAACTCGGCGATATGAACAAATAACCTAATTAACTTCTACTACCATTTACGTGTGTATTATGATTAGCTACACATAGAAGTTAATTACAGAAACCTCTCACGTGTTTTCACAAGTTCCAAACATAGTATTCACGTGTGCATGACGTCCCTTGAAATAAGTTCTTATGAGTACATATTCCTATATTCGAACTTGAACTTTGCGTAGACATGTAACAATTATATAGTTTGCATATAACAATTGTATTTGAAGATTACTAAGGATTCAATGTGACTAATTTTATGTACAGTTTACTGCAAATACTTGTGAACCGTGTGACAATAAATTTAGAATTTTTAATACTATTTAAACTGATCAGATAACTGAGCAGTTTGTATGAAGGTTTCAATAAAAAATATTTGCTGTGTTTTCTTCGGAAAGTTCATTTTAAAATATAGGTACTATCACTGACTTTTGTTTTAGTATAGTCGCTATGAAGTGGCTGATACACCTTTAACGTTATATTGTATGTAATACATGTATATGTATTTTGATTTCACAACTAAATATGTATAAATAATAGGTTCACAAATTGAGTCAGACTGATATAATCGTTCAAGATATAGCTATAATACGGGACCCAATTAGCCATATCTTATGCGCTCTTGACTATTTTTTTTCCTAATTTACATACATCATACATCTTAAAACTAGTCAAAAACATCTTTTATACTCCTAATACTATACGATGATTGTTTATTTTCAACGTGACTCATGTTGTTCGAAGCCGTTTTAGGAATATGAATAATTCATAAATATTTAGCATATAAGTAATGCATAATTTTACAGTTTATTTACTTATTAAATAATAATGAGAAACATTTTAAAAGAATATCTATGAATCATACTTAAACGGGTGCAGTTATAAACAGAGATGATTTACACTTCTACTTATGTACAACTGCTAAACTAATACTATACCTACATATAAATGCGAAAGAGTATTTGTCTGTCTTTTTGTTACTATTTCAGGACTAAACGACTGATCCTGAAAGGGATCATAATACAATTTTATGTAAATACTAGACAGTTCATAATGTTAAATGCTTGTGGGGACTGGTCTGTTCGGGTTACGAACACTGATTAGACTATTTGTATTAATAATAGCATATGCTGGTGGTCACTCTATTCTCCCAATTTCGAATTCAAAAATGAATCTGTATTATTGTAAACATGTACAATATTTATTTGAAAAGAATACGAGCTGAGTTTCTTTTCAGTTCTTCTCATCTCGAAATCATTCCGAGCTGATGGTAGATTTGACATATCATAAGAGTCTGTAATAGAACTACTTGAATAAAGATATTTTGAATTGAATTGAATTCAGATTTTATTAAGAATAAATATATCTAATGTTAGCTTCGCAAAACAACCTAATATCAAATATATACAATATATTATATACTATATCCATGCTAATATTATGAATTCGAAATTCTACCTGTCTGTTACTTACCTTTGTACTGTTATAATTTTAGTAAAATTGTAATATATATAACATATAAAACACTATGATCGGACCAAAAAAAACAAATACGTAGTATCATTTCAATCCTAATGGTACCTAAACAATTATTATTTACGTTTATATTATTATTATATATTACATATTATTATATATTAGCGATTATTTTATGGATATTTATAGAGAGTGTTTGAAACGCTATGGTTCTTTTTACAAAAGGAATTTTATGCATTGCTTAGTGCTGTGTTAGTGTGAACAACCAATATATGCTGTTATATACACTGCTACAGTGTATATTACGGACCTTATTATTATTGTTACTTGTTGTCATCTCATTAAAAGCTATTAAATAATAAAAATTATCAGTTTTCTAAAAATAAAGTAAGAAATCGGCATATTAAAACCACTGCCGGTGACAAAATAAGGTTAACAGGGTGAAATCACTACTTTCAGATAAAAGAATATACACAAACAATAAACAACAGCTCTCGGTGTTACTATGACAATATCTAATTATATATTGCTCCAAGTAAATTTATTTTCAACCGTTTTAAAAATAAGTATCAAATCGACTTGTTTTTTAATGTCTTCGTATAAGTAGATGTATGAAGATATTAAATTTTAATATAGTAATACGATATGAATATGAGACAGTAAAGAAATATGTGAATTGGCCTCATAGATAGCTTAACTATTGCCCCGTTTCCCTTAGGCTATTATCCCGTCCAAGATCTATTCAAAATGTGAACAAAAATTATCAAAATATTCCTACTACGCTAAGTGTATAATTTTGTTTGTATAATTTACCTTCCCATTTAACACTTAAGTCTCTTTATTATTTTCATTAAAAAAAACAATGAAAAAAGTTAATCATTTCATAGAAAATATGAAATACAAATAAATAAAAAGTATTATTAAAAAGTAGTAATATATTTATTATAACAAACATACACGATAACTTTAGTATCAAACACGTATATAAGCAGTGTGCGGCGCCCGCGCACCGGACGCCACATCTGTATCAACGGCGGATGCTGCAAGAAGATGACTTGGCGCGCTGGATCTTCTTAAGTAGGATCTAGAAACATTATATATATATTCTGTTTTAAATTATTCAAAGAAATCAACGGTACAACGAACAAAAAACAAACAACAGATGGCATCGTTGGTGCAGTGGTTTAGCACACTTCTGTAAAGCGTAGTAGGTACTCGCTATATTTGTATTCGTGTATATAACTGTTTGTATCGGTCTAGGTGTTTTCTATGTACATATATTGTATTTACAAAAAAATATCATATGTATTTGTATCAGTTATCTAGTACTCATAACACAAGCTTTAGCTAGCTTAACTTGGGACTAGATTGCACTGTGCGAATTGTTCCGAGATTATTATTAATTAATATCTAATGAAATTTGACAATATTAGATTGTAATACGTCGACGAATACATTTACTTTTATATTAATAACAGCAAAAGAACTCGCGGGTAACTGGTAAGAGACTAAAGTTTATTATAATACTTGCCATGTTGTCATGATCGATCTGTTTCTGCTGCTTTTTCCTGGACACGGCTGCGGATGGGACAGGTTTCCTGTCCGGCTGTTCTCGCGGCGGTATGGAAGACTTCCTCGTGTTCCTGGCGCTTAATATCTTCGTCAGCAGTATGTGATTGTGGCGTTCGATCTCCCGTAGCCTCTCATTGGTGAATGACATATTAATTCGTTTGGTCGGTGGTACTGATATAGAACTGTAATATAATAAACATCAAAACAATAAACTTTACTATACTTTAATTCATTTCGAAAATTCAAACTAGAGTTTTAGTACCTATTAGGATTAGTTATATATTTCCCTCTCTTACACTGATGTTATTATTTTTTGTTACGCTCATGTGATCTTATGATATGATGATAATGAAAAGGAGTGATGACAAACTGTGTTGTATTACTGTCATCATACATCATTGAAGAACCTCAACTTAATACATTTGCCTATGTTGTAACTGGCTAATGAAGAAATGTTTTATATTCTGAATTTGTATTTAAAATTTATAGTTCCTTTTAGATTCTTGTTTGTTACTTCACTTTCATTCTATTCTGTCTAACATAACAGAATAGAATGAAAGTGAAGTAACAAACAAGAATTAGTTAGTCTATATTAATATATATTTTTCTCCGTTTACCTAGTGTTTTTTCTTATTACTATATGAATAAACTACAACAGCCTATATGTGTAAATATATTTTTTATATAAATATATTAGTTCTGTGAAATGAAATAAAATATCTATTCATTGATATCTTCATCATTATTCTCAGCCCACCTACAATGACGGATCAAGATACTCCTGATGTTACATATGTAAATAATATTTTATCTATATTTATATCTTAGTATCTATTATAAGTTTGCAGAGAATATAATATTGCAAATAAATACAACTTACCCATAATTAGATCTGCTGGTTATCGATGCTGGGTGCTTAGTGGACATGGACGAATGACTTTTGGTCAGTTTCACTGAGGACTGACTGAACTGCCCTTTGCTTATACTGTCGCTGTTCGATTTTATAGACTGCAGATCAGTTTTGATCGATTCATCTTCATCATCACTCTTATCGTCTTCAAACTCATCAGAATACACATCATCATCTTTGTAGGATTTAGATTTCCTTCCCTCCGACCCGGAGTCGTAGACGCAGGTCTCGACACATATGTTCGGTGGTTTTTTCACAGCATCCACGATACATCCCATCTCCGATAGCTCCTTGGACAACTCATCGATCTCGTTATTGTTCTCCTCGCGGTAATGCTGTTTAGTTTTATTTCTGTTTGAGTCACCGGAAGAAAACTCTGTATCTATATAACCACTGTCTAATTTGCTGCCTCTGCGTGACATGGTGCTGATAAGCGTGCAAGGTACCGCTAAAAAAAGTAAAAAAAATTACGTCCAAATCTACTACTATGCTACTGCTATAGCCTGGGGTGGCTCACATAGAGTATGGAGCTCCCCGTCGCGCCCACCATGATACAAAGTAGGTATACTGTAGTAGTTTATGACCTGTAGGCGCCTGATAGTACAGATCCTCATGATTGAAATTTCCTGGCGTAAAAAAATACTGCCAAATAAAATATACATATTACAATATTAATAATGTATATTACATCCAAATCTACTACGTAGCGTAAAGTATTTCTAAAGATGTACTAATTAAGTTACCTATAAATATGTTACATTTAACTAATAAAAAATATTGCTAATTTGTGTTGATATAATAATTTTTAATAGAAATGTTGTGTGGGCTCAGGAATACGAAATATACGCGCCTAAATTATTATAATAGCAATATTACTAACTGTTGTAATTAATATCTACAGGCGCTCTTGTCAATGCTGTGGCAGTGATGACTGACCTACTATCTACATACTTTTATTCTAAAATACCTAGGTAAAAAATATATAGTAGAAGTAAAATCAATAGTAATTAGACCATATAAACATAATGTTACGTGAAAATAAAAATTACTTGTAAGATAACAAATTCGGAATTAAACAGATAATACAAAAACAAGTATGCGAGTATATCATGTACATATAACAATACCTTGAAGAAATTATTATTAACAAAATATATTAAACGAACAAAGCACCAAAGTATATTATAACACAGATTGTTAACAAAGCATTATCTAAACTGTACCACATAAAAGAAAACGTTCACAAATATTGACTACAAAATATTACTAGTTTGACGTTATCGTTTTCTTTCTTACAGAAATATTATTGTTCTCAGTCATACACGGCCAGTGCTACAGTATAAAGTATTTATAAATCTTTGAATTAATTATTTTTAAAGGTTAAGGTAGATTTTATGATTCAAAACAGCACTAAATAAGTTTAATCAGAAAATCAATAATTACCTAGCGACAAGCAAACAAATATCGCGCCTTTTGTTGCAGAACAGACTTCGTGTCCGTTTCCATGATAACGTTCCGATATTTGTTAAAAGTGTTACATGCATATACTATTTCTCTCTATGGCTTTGAGCAATGAGCAACTAATCACTACATTTTTTCTAAGACAAAAAGGCCATATTGGTAGAATTCCAAATCCATATAAATTAAATATTTATTAACAGTTCAGCACAGATTATATTAGTCTGACCGAAATATTCTCTCGTTAATTATTTCTTTCATCTTTTCTTGCAGTTCGTAACGTCATTCAATCACATCAGTGTCTGTCAGTCTTACTGAAAATGTCAAATTATTGAAATTGATCTGACTGAAAACTGAAACAAAGTTACATGAGATTAATAGTGGTTTGAATACGAAATTTGTTCGTACGATAATGAATAATGATTTTTCGATAAAATTTGAGCCCTAGTTTACCACATTAGCTAGATAGATAAATTAAACGTGACAATGGTTACTATTATAAAGAATCAATTGTTGAAACATTTATCAAGGTATGTTTGTACTGTTTTCACATAGATGTATACGTATATTTGTTTTACTCTAGTTTAATTTAATTAATTCACAGAACGCTAATTATACACCCATACATATTGCTCCTTAGTACGTAAAAATTATTGACAGTGTTGTCCCATAGAAATTTGAAATTCTTTGTTTCTTGCATAAAACCAAATCAAAAGCTTAGGAACTCTTCACAATGACATTACTCTTTATAGTTAGTCTGTTAAATAAGAACACCAATCAGTAAATATAAAAAAATACACTTACATCACTTCTGGGTACATTTTTTATCATTTTTATCAAATATTATTGTGGATGAATATGGAATGGTGCACCCGCCTGCGAAAACCGTATACGCTGGCGGGCTCCAGTGAAGGATGATAATACGAGCATAAAGTCAGGTCAGATACCATATCATGGTAACTCTCCATGAATCAATGGTTTCCAGGTGGGATCTCTTGAGGGTCAACCTGACATGTTCCTGCTGCAATATACCATGTCAAGTTGACCTCCATGCTATAGAGCCATACTTACATTGAAATAATATCCCATTAGTAACAATGCCTTATCTAGAGATATTAACCATGACATAAAATCACAACAGTCCCTCACACATCCAAAATGGGGTATGCAGAGGCTTATGATGTTGTGAATGCAACACTTGACATGGCTATATTTTATTTGGTATAATTGAATACAACATGGAAGGGCGCTAATCTATTTCCAATCTAATATTATTTTGATGTATAATATATTATATATTATTTTTTATTTAATGTATATTTATAGGCATATTAATAAACATTCACAAAAAACAATAATTGTAGTCCAATGTGACACATCAGGCAGCATACCCTAGTTACTTATAAATTAATTACATTTATTGGTTCACAGATATACAAAAAACCTGTCACCAGAGCAGATAAATCTGTCAGCATTACGTGGCTCTGGTGAACTCCAAGATCTAACCTTGGATGAAGACCTATTGACAGATTTGTTAGAGCTGCCTGGATGGGTGCGGTTGACCTCAGCAAAATGTAACAAAGCCACATTTAGAATACAATGGACGAAACTGAAGACAGTTCCCATAGTTCTGGTAATTTTATTAATTTACAAATTTATGTAATTTTTTTTTATTCTTTATTGCACTTTAAAAGAGTGTACAAGAGGCGAGCTTAATGCCATATGGCATTCTCTACCAGCTAACCTTTGGGTAGAACTAGAAAGCGTTGTAGGGCAGTAATGGCGAAAATTTGTGATATTAATAAATGTTTACTATCATTGCTCTTCAAAAATGATAAATCTATATCATACTTCGTACTGACTAATACTGAATTTACTCAAAAAAATATATATTATAATAGGATTATATTATAATTTGCCTTTATATTTAGAATATCAAAGTCCATGTTCATAAAAGTACTGTGTATAATCACAAGATTATAGTTAATTTTATTATACATTATTACCCAGGATTATAGCAACTATTCCTATATTTCCTTCGCCTTTACTAAAGTATCTTATTACAGGTGGTTATAGTCTACTATTAAAATGCTAATATTATAAATGTGAAAGTATAACTATTTGATACCAGGAATAAACAGCTGAATGAATCTCAATTAAATTTAATACTAAGGTAAATTCTATAATATCTCAAGAATGGACCTTGAATATCTTTTATCTTAAAATAGCAATTGATGACATTGGTAGCATTTGCCAGGCGACATAGTCTCCACGAAAGTTGCAATCTCTATTTCACCAACTCACAAATTATGTTTAGAACTTATAGATGGCCTATGGCCATCCTTATGATATATCTCAGGTTGTCTGTAAGAGCTTGCTATTGAGCGATAAGGCCATCTTTGTTTGCATATTTTTATATGGTTCTCTTTTGTATTTTTTTTTATGAATAATAGAGTTTGATATTATTAATATTAGATTCTATCTTCATGTTAATTTTCATTGCAGTCCTTTCAGCTGTTTAGTTATAAAAAACTGACAAACAAGCAAACAGACACAATTTTGATTTTATAATATTAGTCAGACAACATTGGCTAAATTCTGAATGGGTTATTATTAACACAAGTTTAGACTTCTGTACATTTGCATTGTAGATGAGATGTACAAATTGTTTATTCATACACATATATGAATAATTAATGGCTCGGGTATAGACATAATATGAATTTAATATACAGATTTGAATTGTAATGAATCAGTCGCCTGAAAATTTCAAAATTAATTTGTACATTTGAATACACAGATTTTTTTTCTTCAGACTACTCTAATGCTAAAGGTCTTTTTTTTTATTATCAAAATACTTAGTGAATTTTGACGTTACTCTCTGATAATGTAGTATAATTATAATAATAACACATTTTTATTGTGCACAAAAAAATAATTGCAAAAGAAAACTTTACATAAATGTGATAAACAAAAGGCGGCCTCATCACTTAAAGTAATCTCTTACAGCTGTTGTTGTAAGGTATTATTTTAAGTGTAAGGTTAAGGTGATAACCTGTAGTTCTCTATATGTCAAAGAATTCCTGAAATCGTACTATTATTTTACAAGTTTACAGAATACAAACAAAAAAAATCTTTATATATATATATAGGTTAGTTTAGATGAAGGTTCTGTTGTAATTGTAATGGACAACTGATATTTATTGTCTTCCTTTTCCCAAACAATGAATCACAAATACCTAAAGTGTTGTTGTGTTAAATTAACCATTTGATTGCTGTGTGCATTTTACACGTTGCGGTTGGCCGAACACTTGGTCGGCCTTGATCTAAGCCCCAGACATGCAACCTGTGTTATTGAGGATATTATGAAGGATTTAGTCATGTGTTAGCCACAGAGCAACAGAATATACAAGATGAACACGTTGAAGGTTCATACAATTAATTAACTTCTATGTACATTAAGGATGAATTAATTGTATTGGAATTAATAATTTAAAAGTTTATTACAAAAAATAATACAATATCAATTAACTAAATTTATATTGTTGTTATTAATGGACTTAAATACTTGACTGATTTAATAAATCTTTCACATAATAAAATCTATATTATTGACTAGTAATATGACCTCTATTTCACATGCGTAGCGCCGCTGAAAACAACAGATAAAATTTTATTTTCCATTGTACTACATTAATAGAATAACTGTTTGACGTAGAAAAAAATAACTAGACTTAATTTATTTGATATAATATATTATTTGAGTCGCGGTTTGCGCGCCGAACACTACGCTTCCTAGCTATAAGCAAACGCTATTCAATGCCTGATGATGCTTCGTTCAGGAGCGAAACACTTGTCGCAATATGGGTGTCGACTTAATGACGGTCGTAATTTGAGATGTTCGTAACGGTAGTAAGTTTCGGCACTAAATATTTGTGGTCTCACACATGCTAATTGTAGCGGAATTAAACAAAATGATATTAATCCATTAATTAGTGTATTGACTTTCACAAAATCACACAGAATTCAATGAAATATCTATAAAAATTACAATATTAGTCTAAAGCCACATGTTTGAAGAACAGTGACTTAGCGTTTTTGTATGTAATATTCCCTCTCGACTTTTTTTTGCTCTGTGTTCTTAGCGTAACACTGAAACAGTCATTACGGGTATTATCAAGCACTGAGTCATGTTGTATGTTAGAATAACTCTACTGTTTATTTAGCATGTTTGGTTGTTTTTCCTATTATTTACTTTTTGTTTTTATTATGGCGAACGAAGAAAAACTGTTATCTCGTCGTCATGTTTATTTTTAACACTAACTGTATATAACAGGGGGAGAAGGGGATTGTAAGTAATGGGGACTAGTAAACCCTATTTTTATTAATGTTAATGCAATGGTTCGTCTGCCTACGCTGATGGTTTACGCTGGCGGGGCACTATTTAAGAATCAAACAATAATAATCTATATTTTAATGCTCACAAGGAATCTTTCAATTTAAATAAATCTCATTTAAATTTACAAGTTATTCCTCGGGAGAGTGGAGTCTGAAGTAGGTCGAAATCTGTACTACAGATCTCCAGGCTCTCTCCGGGACCTTGCTGTGCTATATAATACGTCTTTAAAAATATTAATAAATCTGTTTGTGAGGTGACGTTATACAATTTCTCGCGGTGCACCAGTTGAAAATACTACAATGGAGAGTGGAATAACAGACAATTTTACAAATGTAAGCGTGGTATAATTTTTAGAAAGGACAACACTGGTTAACCTCCCGGCTGTTTTAAATATAATTTACCAGTTTATGCTCGTCACTTTGACAGTGTGATCATGATTTACTGGAATAAAAAGTGGCCGAAATCCTCTAGCCCAAATGCTAAGTAAATATCAAATTGCATTGAAGTATATGCAATGCAAAAACAATTTATTTATCTGTGTATCTATTATATATAGGGGATGGTACAACTTGCATGAGGTGTGTCGTCAGCTGTTTGCTATTCTAGATACATAAAATAATTGTATTAATATATATTGTTGACAGAACCTGGACGAGGTTCACATAGCCCTGGAGGTATGCGAAGAGCCACGCACGATGAACCCAAGCGCGGCCAGTGCCATGCCAATACCAGGCAAATACAGCTATATACACAAGGTAATATTGTTTTTACAATTTTTATATATTACATACTATTAAATTAGGTTATTATATGTTTTTTTTATAATTTAAGCAAAAGGGTTTATATCTATTTTGCTTTCTAATATCTTCTTAAGTTATAAATAAATAAATAACCCTGGACAATTGACACAGCGCCATATATTCCCATTGTAAGCAGAGTTTGTCTTATATAAATACAACTGATATAAATACTTAATACTACTACTACTATAAAAATTTATTATTAATATACTTAATATAAAACTTTGGTGCCAACCAGTGTGCACCGTCGTTCGGTAAGGGTACGTCGTGTATTCTTCACTCCAACCTTTCGGACGTACGCTGGTGCACGAGCGCCTCTTCACCATATTGTTGATGTATTTAACACCAAATTTCCTAATTTAGGTATATTTGATTTGTCATACTTTAAATTTAAGAAAAACCTATTAGACATATTAGTTAGAAACCAGTAAATAAATAATGTATATAATAATAAGAGTAACATAACATAAGTATTAACCCGTGGATATCTGTATTGGTTTTACTATTATTAATTCATATCTATGTACTTATATACATACTACATTGTGAAACTGTTTGTATCCGAAATAAACAAAAAAATAATAATAATAAATTTTTGTAAATACATACATAATATACATAGAAAACACCCAGACTGATACAAAATGTCATACTCATGAGTACAATTGTTTGCACCGTACGAGGAATCGAACCCGCGACCATCGGGAGTGAAACGGTGTGCACTAGACAACCGAGGCCGTCAAAGACATTTTACCCAATATTAAAATACAGAAATATGACTAGATTATATACTGATTAAGGACCTATATTGTTGTATTATCAAATATAGGTATTAGGATATTTGATAGTTCAATATAGCTAAAATTAGTGAGTCATTTTTAATTTGTGACGCCTGTTTATATTAAGGTAAACAACGTTATCATTGGTTTTTTAGATAAGTAGAAAACAGTACACGATCAGAATGTATTTATAGCTTTACTGTAATAATATTTTTCTATTGTGGTTAAGTTTCTTACAATAGAAATATGTGTATTCATATTTAATGCACTCTCGAATTCTCAGTGTGTATGATGTGTCATAGGGTTCTCTTTTTACAATATTTCCTGTGATGTAAATACATAATTAATATACATAGAACCATATACAAACACTCTTACTCATGAATACAAATGTTTGTATCATGCAAGGAAATGAATCCGCGACCGTCGAAGGTAAAGCGGTGTGTTAAACCGTTGCATACAAATTACTAGATAAGACGCATGACATGTTAGTCCTCAGGTTATAGCAACTCTTGCGCGGTATCACCGGCATCACTTGATAACGTGATGTAGTGCTGTTTATGTATTTACGTGACGGTTAATTTTAATCGTCAGGTGGGCCCTGAGCTAGTTTGCCACTCCAATAAAAAAACGAATATTAATATTATACTTGTACTAGAACCGGCAAACGCTGTTATACCATAAAAATTGGTGACAGGAAGGTGAAAATTTAGGGTTGTATGTATTTTTAAAGCCTAAATTATAAAAAATATTGTCAAAAAAATTTAGGGGTGGGTCACCCTTATAATTGAGGGATATGAAAAATAGATGTTAGCCTACCCGATATATACAGAAAATTTCATGAAAATCAGTAAAGCAGTTTCGGAGGAGTTTGGTAACAAACACCGTGACTCGAAATCGAAACTAGAATTTTATATATTAGATGGAACGATACAGAAAATAAACACTCATAACGTATTGTAATTTGTAAATATTAGTAACTAAAAGGTTGTTGATAATACGAAACAAAGATAACACTGCGCGATAACATATTATGTCACATTATGAATAGTTTTTATATACCTAACTAAAATATTTGACTAAAACAAATACTTTAATATAGTTTGCAGACCTATTATTTTTATTTGACGGCCTCAGTGGTCTAGCGATTTAACACGCCGCTTTATTTATTTCCGATGGTCGCGGGTTCGATTCCTTGCATGGTGTAACCATTTGTATCTATGAGTATGTGTGTATTGGTCTGGGTGTTTTCTATGTATATTATGTATGTATTTACAAAAAAAATATTGTAAGTATTTATATCAGTTGTGTAGTACGCATAACACAAAGCTTGGGACTAGATAGCTGTGTGAATTGTCCAGGTGTGATTAGTATATGATTATTAATTTATATATAAATGAAATTGAATAACTAAATTAATTTTAAATTAACAACTTTGCACTAAATGCATATAGAAGTATATACGGTACATACATAAAATAATTATTCAATTAAAGAAAAAAGAAATCTCTGTTTACTCTTGCTAATTTCTGAAATGGCAGGACTGATTTTGATGGGACTTTCCCTCGCAGATAGCTGATAAAGAACTGACTACTTTCATTTTAGAAATTTTGTTTATTTTAATATAATAGAAGATAAATTCCACGCTGAGGGGTTTCATAACATTTTTTTCGACATTAAAGTATGTAATGGCTGTTTATATTCCAGGTAATCGACGGAATCTCGGTGGCTGTGAATCAGGTGCAAATAGACTTCAACTGTGATGCTTTCACCAGCAGTGTTCAGGTGTGTACAAGCCTAGTTGTATTCAGCGGCACCGCCCGTGTGAAATATTACTCACTCATTATGTAAACTTGTGTAAGTGAAGGAATTGTTAAAATCGGTTATATATTTCTTGACTTTATTCATTACAAACAAAATCATATTATTATAAACGTGAAAGTTTGTGAGTATGGATGATCTTTGTTACTCTTTCACGCAAAAACTGCTAAACGGAAATTGATGAAACTTTGACGAAACATAGGCTATAAATTTCATGCGAGTGAAACCGCGGCCACAGCTATTTAATAAGATTGATGTTAACGGCGCATGAGCATCCGCAACACCAGGGGAATTCCAAATGCGTTGCCGACCTTTTTAAGAAGGAATAAGCTTCTTTTGTTAGTTTTGTTATCGATTCTGAAATAGCATTGCTTGATGGTGATTCCACAATGCGGTAAAATATGGTGACTTATAAGCGTCTATGATGTAGGTACATGAATAATAAAAAAATAAAAATGTTTTTATTGATTTTAGATCTCAAGAGTGACAGTGGAGTCCCGGACGCCTGACGGCCGGAAAGGAGACCTAAGACTGACTAGAATGAAGTCGCCAGACACCGGACAGTTGCTTATATTTAAGGTACATATTATAGTAGAATCTGTATATGTGAGGAAGTTTCAAAGTTGGAGAATATAGAAGTAACATATGGACTTGGTATGGGCATTGTGCGGAAGAGAGGAACATGTATTTAACATGAATGTGGATGTATGGAAAGGGAGCGAACGACAAAAAAAAAGATGGATGGAGTATGTGAAAGATGATATGTATAAAAGGAGAGTAAGTTCAAATAAGACAGCCGATAGAGTTCAGTGGAAGGAGATGAATACACCGCCCCCAAATAATGGGATAAAGGCAAAGCAAAGCCAGTAATTCTATGACATCTGCAACAGGCGATGTCGGTAAAGAAAAATAGTGATTACATATATATCGGATGCACCCTACCAATAGTCTTATTCTGTGAGAAATCTGTGTTACTAGTTGTGGAGATATATTTATTTATATTATTTTTAAATCGACTCGCAGATATATGTTTTTGTCCGGTGAAATTGTGAAGGCCAGTTGCAGCCAACAACACGAGCACACTGGTCCAGATGGACGTGTGACAGTTGTGACACTCAAATGTAAAAATTCAACACTAAAACGCCCTATTTCAAAACTTATTCCATTACCAAAATTCCAGTATATAATACTGCTATGGTGAGCGGCCCACCGATGAAGAACAGAGTTCTTGGTAGGCGGAATGTCGGGATTAATTCAATTTCTTTACGCTAGATGGCGCTACCTGTATTTTCAATACAATTTCTTATATTTGGTGGTATTTCAATTAATAATTAAAGAATTATATTCAGTATTAGAATAATTATAAACAAAATACAATCTGTATTATGTTTCTGTTATAGGAATTGGAATGGCAAAGTGCCCGAGTGGAAGCCAAGCCGCATGGAGTGGCGGATGCTGGTCTGCCGCCTCTTCGGTTGCTATTGGGCAATACACACTGTCGTATCGTGATCAAGAAAAGATTAGCAGGTAAAATTATAACATCGCTTGATATCATTAATATTCAGAATGTTTTAAAGGTATTAATATAATTTAGGAGGCACGGTAAACAAACCGATGTGCTCCCCAATGGTAAGTGGTAACCGTCAGCTACCTGTGTACAGTGTACACATTACCACAGACATCACGTTATCATGTGACGCTCGTACATTGACATCTTAGTCTTCTATTCTAAAGGATATTTATACATACAGCAACACATGAGTGGTCACATAAGAATGTGGTATCTGTAGTAGCTTATTGGCAATCGGTTTGACGTAACCAAAAATACACAAAAACTATTAATGTCATTACATATATGAGTGGTAGAACCAAATTTGCTAGTTACCATGGGTACTTTCACATCATTGCGGCTTATCCCCGACTCACCCTGTATATAGACGTGTGTGTACTGGTGTTGTGCAGACTGCAGCGTGGTGGGGTCCCGGCTGGTGCTGCGGCCCGAGCCTGTGGCGTGGGCGCTCACGGACGGACAGCTGCGGGCCGCGCTCGCCTGCGCCGCGGCACTCGCGCAGCCCGTGCGCCGCGCCACCGCCGCCGCCACCCGGGCCAAGGCGCTGCGCAAGGTCACACTACCACTACACTCCCGACCTTTGTATGGCCGCACTCGGTGACACCTACCACTACACTCCCGACCTTTGTATGGCCGCACTCGGTGACACCTACCACTACACTCCCGACCTTTGTATGGCCGCACTCGGTGACACCTACCACTACACTCCCGACCTTTGTATGGCCGCACTCGGTGACACCTACCACTGCACCTTTGTATGGCCGCACTCGGTGACACCTACCACTACACTCCCGACCTTTGTATGGCCGCACTCGGTGACACCTACCACTACACTCCCGACCTTTGTATGGCCACACTCGGTGACACCTACCACTGCACTCCCGACCTTTGTATGGCCGCACTCGGTGACACCTACCACTGCACTCCCGACCTTTGTATGGCCGCACTCGGTGACACTACCACTGCACTCCCGACCTTTGTATGGCCGCACTCGGTGACACCTACCACTGCACTCCCGACCTTTGTATGGCCGCACTCGGTGACACCTACCACTGCACTCCCGACCTTTGTATGCCGCACTCGGTGACACTCGGTGACACCTACCACTGCACTCCCGACCTTTGTATGGCCGCATGGACACCTACCACTGCACTCCCGACCTTTGTAATGACAAATAACCTTTGTATGGCCGCACTCGGTGACACCTACCACTACACTCCCGACCTTTGTATGGCCGCACTCGTTGACACCTACCACTACACTCCCGACCTTTGTATGGCCGCACTCGGTGACACCTACCACTACACTCCCGACCTTTGTATGGCCGCACTCGGTGACACTCCTACCACTACACTCCCGACCTTTGTATGGCCGCACTCGATGACACTCCTACCACTACACTCCCGACCTTTGTATGGCCAATCAAATAACTCTGGATGTTGGAAACTGTTTTCTAAACCTTTTTTATTGTCTATATTTTTTATAAACACTATATTGTTTTATATAAGACATAAGTCAATACAATATTTTACGACCATACCGGTGCCATTTTCTTTTGCTTGTCGTCTTGATCTCCATCTTTCACACTGGATAATTCCCGCAGCGCTGGCTAAACACGACCTAAAATGGCCTTGTGTTGTAAGTACTAAACTGCTCATAGATTACCTTTACACCTTAAGTTCTTTAATGCCGGAATCCGCTTTCACGCGCACATAATTTTCAAGTCATATAATTTTCTTTTAAAATTTCATTTTTTATTCCACAGTTTTTATTATCCAAAGTTACGTTTAACATTTATAAATTAATCAATATAAAGCCCCAGCATGATTGAAAGACACGTGAATGCGCTCACTAGCAGCGTGCGCAGTCTTTTTCGTTCTCTTTGTCTACATTCACAAACACGTTTTTTCGTACGTGAATGAGTGTACATATTAATAATATCTTTAACGGTACAGATTGAAGAGCCACGTGAGCAAATACAGAGCCGCCCGCCGACCGGTGACCGGGACCTCCTGGCGCGGATGTTCGCCAAGCATGACGTACGCGAGACCTCCTACCATCTGCTAGCACCTAGGATAGACCTGCATCTGTGTGACGATCCTGGCTGTAAGTTTTATATTAACTACTGGCTACCCGCTCCGGCTTCGCACGGGTATGGGGCCGTTCAAGTATTACGTAAGCACTATAGGGGGGCGGGGGGTCTTTTCTTTGCTTATTTTGGATGACATAGGGGTGGGGGAGTTTGTATGATGATTACGTCATCGGTCGTAATTTACTTTTTTACACGAATGGCAACCCTCACATTGTCTTTGCTAAAAAAACAATACATTAATTGAGAGATGTTTACGTAAGCATGGGTGGAGGGGGTAAGAGCTTTGCTTACTTTTGCTGACAACGGGGGATGGGGGGTAAATAATTGTGATAAATCTGCTTACGTAATACTTGAACAGCCCCTATTCATCAAATATATAAACCTTCCTCTCGAATCACTGCATCTATTGCTAAAAACTGCATTAAAATCCGTTGCGTAGTTTAAAAGATACAGCGAACAGACAGCGGAAGCCTCTTAATTTTATATTATGTAAAGATGTTTGCACGAAATATATACTGCGGCGCTGACACTTCAATGAAGCAAATTTTTTTACGTCTGATGGTCTCGGATTCGAGACCTCGCACGGTACTAACAGTTGTATTCATGAGTATGATTGCTGGTAGCGGTCTGAGTGTTATCTATGTATATTCAAATTCAAATTCAAAAATCATTTATTCATATAGAACATTTTAGCCGCTTATGAACGTCAATTAATTTTATTTTTTCCCTACCGTCCGTACCGTTTACCGTATTAAGTATGTACTTACAAAAAAAAGTATATAAGTATTTATAGTCTAGTAACCATAACACAAACTCGGCTTACCTTGTAACTAGGATGGCGCTGTGTGAATTGTTCTGAAATATTATTATTATTAAATAGTGGGCAGATCCGAGAAGCCTTCGCTGAGTAACGGCGGCGCGCTGCAGGTGACGCTGGTCAGCATGCAGGCGGACCTGTTCCCCTACCACAAGGCGTCCAACGACAGGCGGCACTGGAGAGGTTACAGGTACAACATTATACGTGCTATTTCATTTATTTTTACATTTCACAAGCTTACATATAGATAAAACTGGCTGTTATACGCGACTTAATATAAATTAATTTTTAAAATGATGGTAGCCTAAGTTACTCATTGGTTTGGGATATTAAAAACTACAATTGAGTAAGATTTCTTATATTATAAATATATTATGAGAACTGTCATTTTGTATGGATCTGAATATTGGGCCGTAAAGAGGACGGGTGAAAGGCGTCTGCATGTGGCAGAAATTACAGAATAAGGAATGTGTATATACTAGTATATGTGCAATGCAAGTGTATATGCAAGTTTGAAAGTTGCGCCAGATATAGACGAGATGCGAGGTAACAGATTGAGCTTGTATGGCTATGTTATGCGGAGGAGCATGGATCATGTCTTAAAGAAAGTGTATAATATGCACATGGGTGTGGGATGGAAAGGAGGACGCTCTGAAAAAAGATGGATGGAATGTATGAAAGATGATATTAATAAAATGAGAGTATGCTCAGATATGACGGCCGACAGAGACCAGTGGAAGAAAATGACATACTGTGCCGACTTTTTTATAGTATTGACCAATGCAATAAAGCGTATATGCATTCAGTAAATAGATGTTAATCTGAAATTACAAACACACTTCAATTTTATTTATTGTATAGTTTACTAACGAAGAAGCCTGAATGAAAAATATATACATTATTATTTACATACCGGCCTCACTCTTTCCAGGGAAACAGCAACTCCTCACAGTCAGTGGTTGTCACAAGCTCTGTCGTCGTTCTGTGGAACGCTACTCGAATCATTGGACCCTAGACCTATTGTACCTAGTAATAAGGTAAATTGTAGACTATCTTTATTAGTTTATGTTACGCCTACCTCATAAGCTGAGTTGTTACAACGGGAATGAGATTGTTAGTAATGTGAAAAATATACCCATTGCACACAATGTCAATCTGTTAGGGTATCAGATTGTTCCTTCTAGAAAACATCATGATAATTTATTTATATTGTTATATTATGCTTCATAATATTTTTTTTATTTTATTAATATCATTGCACCGCCAACGATTAGTGTCTGCACTTCTTATGATTGAAGTAGAAAATACCGCAAGGCGTTAAGTCCGCCAAATCTACAGTTAATTACTATATTATTTACTGTATTATTAGTACTACATATGTCCATTAAAGTTATATGGAATTTATTGTACTAAAATTATATTTATTTATTAATATAAATAAATTTCTGGTGAATTTGCCACGATATGCAACTGACCTGACCTCATGCTATTATTATCGTAAACCGTTAGCACAACGCGTAGTCCATCCACTCCAATAATATTAAAAAACACTTCTTTTTCAGCAAGCAAGACAATCCGATAAGCCTGAGGAACCGGTGTCGAATGGCATCAGCCCCAAGCCGGCTGCCACACAGAACAGCGCTTCCAACGCTCCGTCCACTAATTCTACTACCTCACAAGGTAAAAACACCTATACCTGTATATAAATAGAGGTGTTTAGTTTATTTAGCAGCTAAATTCGTACTGGCTCTGCAGATCGTTGTTTATATTATAAAATGTAAAAACAGCATGAAGTTAGTTACAATAAAGAAATAGAAACTGTACGTAATTTAATTCTTTGCAATATAATAGTGCAACATCAATGAAGAATTCGTTAACGATAATAATGTTTTTATAGAAAAACTTTAAATCTATAGCACTGACAATATTATCTGATTACATTAATAATGAGTGCGTAGCGACTTCTATGTTGATTATCGCATGCCTCTTACTTGTTATACTGTAATTATTTATATAAAAAAAAAACATCTATTAAAAAGAGCAACACACAAGTTTCTTGCTCATTCTCTTGTGATGAATCTGCATTTCGAATGAGTGGTAGAATCAAAATATGACTATTCAAAAGTGCTTGTAATGAGTTTATTTGAATAAAGATTATTTCTATTTCTATTTCAATCAAGCGAAAAAGGTATATTGGTAAGAACAACAGGCATAGATGAGCAACTATGCCGTGCGAACAGGAGCGCGCGGGAATGCGCACGTAATCGTAAAGGACTGTATTTAACTATTGTTTGTATCCACTCTTTCGCGCGAGTTTGCTCGTATTTATCAAGTCATTTCACTTTGATTTTATTTTCTAAATAAACTTTAAAAATTTATAACTCTATAATTAATCTTTTGCTCTATAGTCAGATGTTTTGCAATGATAATTCATTATTACAAAAAACAAAAAGCACGCACAATTGAAGAACGTGGGAATACGTCCGCGATTTTTCTCATTCTATTTGTCGAGTTAGCTAATCATCTGTATGGTTACCCCTATCTCATATTTAATGATTTTATACAAAACGTAGCTCAATAAAATAACTATGTCTATTTTTTCTTTAGCTTCTCCCACGAGAACCCGTATATTGGAACAACTCGGCAAGTTGATGACCACTTGCCTCGTACTCAGGATAGACGACTTCACAGTCAACAAGGTTTGAATACATCTTTATATTACAATAGTAATAACAATTTTTGCGTTAGATTGAGTACTCTGAACAAACTTTGAGATGTAACAAGTTAATAATAGGTAATAGTTCTTTCCTCTTGCGTTGTCCGGGTAGGTATCGACTGGTTTCCGGTCCCGGGAGGCGCCACGGCCACTCGTAGCGGCTGAGAAGGCCACGCTGCCAGGAGATGCCGGTCTACTGCACGCTGAGTTCACATTCTTCTACTATCCCGGCGACGTATGCTTCCCTGGTAGGTACAGTTAATCTCACCAATACAAATAACTATACTCATGAATACAAATGTTACTGTGCGAGGAATCGAACATAGACCATCGGAAGAAAACCATTAGAGCAGTGAAGCTGTCAACTTTTTTCGGACTACTCTAATACTGTTGGCCGCAGCTGGCCTTTACATCTTAATCGGACTATAGGGAGCGAGTATCTGCACTTTAAATCAGCGGAAGGACTTATGGAGCGGCTGAAGGTCAATCCCTGCCTGACGGATACGACATTAGTCTGATGGCGCTGCTAGGGGTCCGAACCTCGGTTCAGTTCCGTTGTAATTACGATCCCCGTTTCAACTAAACTTCCTTTTAATTCGACCGTTAGAATCGGACGGGGGGATAAGAGATCTTCAACGTAGTTGTTAGGTGTGTATACGATTTTTATGTTGTGTGTCGTCATAATTTTAATTTTTTGGCCACAAATGCAACATTGACATAAACACGCATATTATTTATTCGACGATACTAACTATCTCAACCCCAAGGACAATCTACAACAGTAGTATTAATGTTATGCGATGGTCAGTGCCGGCGCCGAAGCTGTACGTGCAGGTGTCCCCGGTGCGCGTGTCGGTGGACGCGGGCAGCGTGGTGTGGCTGGCGGCCTTCGCGCCCCACGTGGGCCGCGCCCTGCTCACCGACGGCCTGGTGCCCCCGCCCGCATCCGGCCCAGCATCCGGCCCCGCACCAGTCGGACCCTACCTCGACGTACGGATGGAGGCCATCATGCCCAAGGTAGCGTCAGTTTATTTATTGCGGGCCCCCACGTAGACTTTTTTAAATAAAAGTATCCTAGGTTCCTCTTTATAATGTTAGCTGTCTTCGAGTGTCTATCAATATGTATGAAACTTGTGAATTGTAAACTCATTGCAGCTAAAAATTATTTCCAGTTGGTGTTGGAAGCAGGCTCGGAACACGTGCCCGCTCAGCGGGATCGTCCTCGAGAGCTGCATCTCTGCACGGCGCGCGCCACGCTTACCAACGTGCGGGATTCGCCACGTGCCAGTATGTATCTCTACTTCCATGATTAACACACCTATCATAACAGAACCACACCTATCACCACATTACCACACCTATCACCACATTACCCCATCTATCACCAATTCCTGAATGCAATAACGAGCCAAAAAGTTGACGGAATAGAAAGTTGCTGATGGATACGACTTTAATCTAAAGATACTGCTAGTGGTTCTAACCGAACTAGGAGAGGACTGTTTTTTTTTGTGTTAAGTCCCGCCATAATTCATACAGCATGACGGTCTTTGCAAGATTAATCCTCACGTTAAAAAAAAGTGAGACGGATGTACCCACCCAGGCAACTTTGTATGGTATAAAAATATATTTAAAAAAAAAAATTAATGGCTAATAATTTTATCATGCTATATTCTTCGAAATATAACTATCGCTGTAGTAAAGCAGGAGAGGTGCTGACCTCTTCGCCTACAATTCAAGTACTCAGCACATCACCTTCTAGTCTTGCGACTGACCACATAATTTTAAGCATATAAGTTGTAAATTGTTCCTAATACTACTAAGATAGTGGTTTCATTCTATACGATATTAAATTCCAGACACAGCAGGCACCCGCGCGGACCTGGCGTCTATCCTGGCGGCGTTGCGCAGGGCTGCGCCCCCGCGGGGACAGTTCCCAGCCTCCGCTGACGACCTCGACCCCATACACGACCAGTTCGTGCTGCACGCCGACAGTGAGTCAATGCTATATCCGGTTACTACAACTATTATAGAACGCAAGTACCGCTAGATGGCACTGTACGGAGTCCGGTGAAATCGAGATACTTCTTTTTTTAATTAAATGGATGGATGATGGTTGATGGTAATACGAGTATGAGGTCAGGGGGAAGTCTACTCAATGGATTTTAATGGAACATTACAATAATATAGTTTATATATTATATCAGAATAGCGCCGGCTATTTTCACACATGTGAAACCGCGGGCACAGCTGGTATTAAATAATAATTGTTATACATAAATGTGAGCAGACAAATATAAAATAAATGTTTAGATTTGTATGTTATCTGTGTACAGACTTGGACGACATTGATCGAGGGAGCGCCATCTCGTCAGAAATGTTGTGGAGGGAGAATAGGGCCGTGTGGTGTGTTCGAGTGGAACCAATGTGGGCGGATTTTTGCGGTGCACGCGCTACAAACTACAAACCCGCGCCGCTGCTCGATGCCACACCTCTCACCGCCTGGGTAAGTAACTGAAAAACACGTATCTATTATAACGGGACCTTATAATCAGACATCATCGGGAGAAAAGCGATTGCTAATAATGTGGAATAATGATTCCATTGCTAGCATTGTACCATATCAGATTGACATACACGGGAACCGCGTGTATTTGTATTATTCTGTTTAATTCTGCTACTTATAGCATGTGTGAGATCATAAACATTCAGTGCGGAAACCTGACCACCGCTATATGAAGCGTTACGACTTTTCCCACTAGTGATCAACTCCGACCGTTATCAGATCTACACCCAAAATAAAACCAAATAATACATAGGTAATAAAAACTTCTGTTTATTAGGGAATTTTCTATACTAACAATGAAAACTGTAATCACTAAACATACGTCTTTATTTTGTAGCCTTAAATATACTTGTACTGTACTTCCAACCATTACATCACTTTAAAAACTATTATAATGTATTTAAGTAATAAATATGACAATATATATATTTTCTCTACAGTTCACTTCTGATCTCTATAATATTATTTCTTTTTTTATGTCAATATATTTTGGCGCCAAAGTTATTTCACCTTTTTAAAATGGACTACAGGCAACGGAACCAACCCAAACAGTTATAATATTGAGACAATATTCATAGTGGGATATTTAACAACTTCTTTTGTTAATATAAATATTTAAATAACACAATTGCCACCCACAACAATGTAAATATTTTTTATGCGTGAATCGACCCCGTGACTATCGGCATGTGAGGTCGTATAGTAAACTATGACATATCGACGAATAAATAATTTGAACTGTTTGCTACAGATGTGTTTTGAAGAGGGCTTCTCGCGGATATACGTGGTCGCGCGCACGTGTGGGCTAGCGGGCCTCCAACTCAACCACTACCAGATGCTGTTCCTCATGAGGCAGCTGGAGAGAATCTCGGAGATGATGTCGTGGCTGGCACACGACGCTGCCAGACAGCCTGACGCTGATGCTGGGTTTGTAGTACAAATATAAATAGTGTTCTAAATGGTTTATCAGAAATGTGTTTATCATCATCATCATCATCATCGTCAGCATCATCATCATCATCATCATCATCTGCTTGTTCCTTATTCCTTTTATTTGGGGTCGGCGTAATATATTTTTCTCTTCCATTCATCCCTGATCGTAGTCATCTCGTTATTTACTCGCTTTCTTACCATTTATTATTTTACACAGTCCATCCATCTCTTTTTCGGTCTTCCTCTACCCTTATAAGCATCCACATGTTATGTCTTTGATGAAATGTCTTTATATTCTATTTATTATATCTTTTGTATTACAAATAGTTTTGTTATGAATGTATTATAAAATATACTCTCTCACCGCTGTAAATGTTTGCGATAATCTCAAAAACTATTGAACGGATTTTTAAACAGTTTTCATATATCCATAGTGACATAGTATTAGGAGTATTATGTTTTACTACCAGTGCAAAACCGAAGCGCAATAAGTTGGATGAGAATAAAAATATGTTGCATGCACAGTGTTGAAAGGAAATGAACTTTATTTCCTTGTTGTTATTAGGTCGATAGTTGTGGGCGTGGTGGTACCAGCAGTGGAACTGACTTTAGTACTACCGTCCAACTGTCCTGGACAGGAGTCTTCCAGGGACCTAGACAGTGTGCCACTCGACTCATCCAGTTTGCAAGACATGAAAATGGGCAAGTTATTGTTTTTATATATTGTAGTCTTAATACTTTATATTAATTTTTGTTGATGGAATTGTTAAATCCTGGTTTTGCTAGCGCTGGCGGGGTTCCAGTAGAGTTTGATGTAAGATGGTATAATGGTAGAAAATACAGCATGGTGTTAAGAACATACTATTATTGTATTGTGTGTATAAAAGTTAAATAAATAAGTAATAAGATAAGAATACATTAAGTTAATTGACTCATTGGTAATAATTATTATTGAGGAATAAAAATATATTCAATTGTTTCTTCAACTTTATGAGTATATATTTTTTTATTCAATCAATTTTTCTCGCATTAATTTAGTTCATGTCGAGCCTTAATATTAAAGTTACCCTTAACATTTAGTTCGGCATGAACATGAATATTTTCTTTATTTTTATGTGATTCTTAAAGTTTACTATGAAATCTATTAATATGTATTTTTAATAAAAAAAATTCTTACTCCAGGTTCAGAAGCGACAATGGCGCCCTCTGTGATAGACCGTGATAGCGGTGTACTGGCCACAACGTCAGTAGAAGTCTTCTCAGCACAACCGTTACCAGCTGAAGAGATGCCACCACCTAGTCCAGGGCTTAATTTCGCAGGTTAGTTGATTAACTATACGAATATATATATAATTACAATAGGCCTGTTCGCGTTTATAGAAGATATATGAGAAGAACTGTTATTTTAGGCCCAACATAAGACGACCCAAAAGGCTGTTTGTCTGCGTTTTGGTGTGCTAATCTTCAAAAGGACTTAACTACTATCTGGTGTGTGGTTTGCTTACTACTATGTGGTTATGAATATATATAATCAATACATATATTGTATTTATCAAAAGCTAATCATACTTGTAACAAATAATACACAATAGCATCTATTCCTAAACTAAGTAGAGCAATACATCAAAACACATAAACAGAATACAGTTTATATCCACCCACAGTGGCTACACATGACAGTACAGTACAACGGGTGCCACAATGTATTTTGTGATATTGCTCTACTGTTCATGACGATAGGCAATAGTTACCACTTTCCATAAGTCAGCCCATAAATTACTTCACCATTACATTACTGATTCTCTCTTTGCGTACGGAGCATGTTTCTCGACGTGCGCATGAGTACGTACGCGCGCGTAAGAATGCTAACGCGTGTAATTGCGTGCAGGGCTGTCGTCGATGCGGCGCGGGCTGACGTCGCTGGTGTCGTCCCTGGACGGCGCGCTGCGTGACGACGCCCGCAGCGACGCCGCCTCCACCGCCTCCTCCGACGAGGAGCGGTACGTGCTCGTCGGGCTCGCAGCGGAGTCGCCGGATGACGCGGACGTCGCATTCCGGTACGGTACTCGCATGCGTATCTTTTGAATCCTAGTAGTATTATAAATGTGGAAGTTTGTGAGTGGATGGATGGATGTTTGTTACTCTTACACGCAAAAACTGCTCGATGGATTTTAATGAAATTTTTACAGTAATTTATCTTATACATCATCAAAATAACATTACAATATATACGTTAAAAATTTCATGATTATTTTTTTTATATTTTCCTTTGTTTCTTTAATTTATAAATAATATTTCATGTATAATGCTTTAGTAATAAGAAGCTCGTCAACACGATTACAAGTTTAATAGTTATTTTCTTTTGTTGTATATTCGAAAGACATTTATTTTGTATTATAATACAAAAGAATATTAGACAAAAAAGAAGTTGCTATTACAACCCATCTTGGATTTGTGCAGGTGTGTATGACCATGGTGCTATAGCTATATACATGTAATCCTTCCGAAAGAAATTGTCGAAATTATAGCAAAAAATAGAATAAATCTCTCGCATGATTTGGAATAAGTAAACGGAAAAACAAGCCGACCAAAACGCCGACTATGCTTTATGCAATTTATAGAAATGAAAACGTTATGACAATGTACATGCAGGGAGTTCGAGCAGGGTCGCGGGGGCGCGTCGTCGGGCGTGGAGGTGGCGGCCGAGGTGGTGGAGCGGTCCTCGTCGCCCAGCGACCACTCCCTCACCAGCTCGTGTCGCCGCCGAGACCTGGTAACACCTAATAATAATAATGATAATCCCTGAACTATTCACACAGCGCCATCTAGGTCCAAGGCTTATGACTACTAGATAACAGATATATTTAGATACATTTTTTTTTAAATACGTATATAATATAAATAGAATACTCCCAAACCGATACAAGCAATCATATTAATGAGTACAAGTGTTCGTATCATACAGAGAATCTAATCCGCGACCATAAGTGATATGCTAACCCACTGGATAACACATTTTCTAAATGAACTAAAACAAATTTTCTGTGAATGTTGGCAAATCAAAGAACTTTCATGATTCTTTTTATTATTAATTATTCCCATCCTCTACTAAATAAATTTAAATCCCATTTTCTATCCCTTTAAATTCCTACTGTCCTTTTTCCTTCATTCTTTCCAAATATAATAAACACCCTTTATTGTTCTCCTCACAGAAAATTGAAGAGTATGGCAATAGTTCTGCGGTACGGCATGTACTCTTAGATGATACCAAGGTCGTCAGAACGCAATAGTTGTATACTTATTACTTATTTGATAGTAGATGTACCTGCTTGCCATTCAAAATACATAAAAACCTGTCACCAGATATCGACATGCACGTGGCGTCTGAACAACATCCACGTGGTGCATCAGAGCGTCAATGGCAAGTCCTGCATGCGGCTGGCGGCCGACGACCTCAGGACCGACGAGTGCTCCTCTATACCCTGGGATGAGTTCCAGGTAATCACGGTTCATGTGCTTTATGTAACACGTTCAAGTTCGTATAACTGTCAATTGTACTGAAATCAATGTGTAATATAACAACATGAATGTATCTATGAAAATTTACGAAAAGCGTAAATTATTTTATATTAACATTTAATAATATTTAAATAGGCAACGTAATAGCATATTTTATAAGAATATACTATTGTTACGCGCGACTGCTTCCGCGAATAGATGTAAAATAAATAAATAAAAGTAGCCTAAGTTACTCCTTATAACATTAGTGAAAGTCCCATCAAAATCGGTTCAGCCGATTCAGAGATTAGCAGGAAAAACATTGTACTTAGGGCTAAGCTAGTCTTTCTTAAATTGTATTAACATTACACATTAATTTCAGTACAATTGCCATTATGCCAGTTGCCATCATTCATTCTCAATTTTTTACACCAAATTGCTAAATTTTTACCAACTCTCAATACTTACATTCCAAATTAATCAGTCTATTACATTTACAAAATTATTTTCATATAATTATTTCTCTTAAATACAGTAAGCAGTTGATGTTTCAATATGATATAATAAAATTAATTAGATTAATTTTCTAAATCTACTTTTGGAGGTGTACCTAGGAAATTGTTATAATTTTATTTTGCCATTAAATTAATATAAACATAGATTCGGATTTTGGTTATTCAAGTGTTTGATTATTTCGTAGTCACTTTGCAATTCAACAACATTTATTGAAAAGAGCAGCACGCAAGTTTGCTCGTTCTTCTTGTCATGAGTCTGTATGCCGAATGAATGATAAAATAAAAAATATGTTTATTCAAAAGCGCTTATATAAAATTTTATTTCAGTATAGATTATTTCTTTTCAATGTATTGTTTTCTATATGATAGAATTTAGCACTAGCCTTTTACATGAAACACAATTAGGTGATTTAAAGTTAATATATATAAACTATGTGGTCGCCGGTGCATTGTCATCATATATATTTTTTAATTTTCGTAAACAATACGAGCGGCATATTATCTTTTTATACTACGATGGTGGCAAACAAACATAAGGCCCATCTGGTTGTAAACGGTTACTGTAGCCTATGGAAGTTGTACTTGCTTCGGCAGTAGCTAAACTAAAATTGGAACTACAAGGATACAGAGAAGATTAGCATGGCCCCTGCGCAAGGACGACACGCAAAATCGTGAAGCGTTCCACTTTTTTTTTGCACAATCCTATGGAAGTTATTCCATATTGTGTAAATTTATTATCAATTTCTTACTGTATTTAATATCAATCACATTTTTTAAAGCAATATCACATTACCAATGATAATACAAATCTCTTCCCTCTTTTATTGATGATAATTTATTAATACTTTCTCTATGGCATGTCTTACATTAACCGATCCGTATTTATTTGTATTTTATCAATTTTCATACCGAGAACCTCTACCATGTCGCATTTAGTTTATCGTCTGAGAAAATAAAACTAATTTATAATGTAAATTTTATATTATCACTGTCATTATTAATAATAAAATTGCTATAAATACTATTTATATTAAATTTTTAAAAAGTGTATACTCTAGTTTCTAGTTAGTGTTTTATAGTATGGAGTATCATATTTATTATAAATTCTAAATAGTTATCTTAGTCTTCATATATTCTAATTAAATTTTTTTGTTACTGGCAAAAACAAAATGGCACAAAAAGCCATTTTTTGTTAATAACATACAGATAATGTATATATTGTCGACTAAATTATAAATAAATTAATAGACAAGAATGTTAAAAATGTTGTTGTTAGTATTATTAAACATTTTTAACTCGAATAAATACGAAAGCAGTTGTAAGAAAGCAATTCAATGACGATCTTGTTTATTGCAGAATGTCTCATTTATAATACTCAAAATTTCCAAACATGGTAGAGGTTACAACCCTGCATGAATGTGCCACTGTATCACACCATGACCCATATAAATCCCTAAGATATAAAACAATTCTGTGCCAAACAAGTAAAAAAATAGTGCCATCCTTGTTTGTCGTATGAGGGATGAGCAGGACGGCATTATTTGTACGCTGTGTTGCGGCACTAAGTTGAATGCATCCGTTTATTATCTAACTATGTGTCTATGTGTGTTCTCTATTGCAATTCGCGCCCGCTCGGCTATCGTGACCGAAAGACCCGACTCAAGGTATTCCAAACGATCCGTGGATCGGCCATTTTTGATTGACACCATGTAGTGGTATTGTTCAGTTAGTTGTAGAGGTTTTTGTGTCGTAGCCAAGGGGGTTTGTCTGTGTATGAGTGGATGAGACGAAAGATGTTTCCGTCACGGTCGTACGTACGTCTCAATTCGCCTTTAAATTTGTAACTAACGCATATCAACTGCCTAGGCTACATACGCGGACAAATCGCGTAAGAAGCCTACGCGATTGACTGTACGCTGTAATTTAAAATTAATAATTTATCAAATTTTCTAGTATATAAAATTCTTCAAATAATCAAATATTTATAAAAAAAACTTTTTTATGCCACCAAAATGTAGGATGCAATTAGGTATAAATAATATCAGAAACATAATTTTTTTGATATTTTTTAAAACTTTTTTAAAATGTTATGTGACTGGAAACATCTTTACAATTGCTTAACCGCTACATTCTATGTTCTAATCCATTTGAGTTGACATATGCCCTCTGAAGCCTACCCAGGTATTGTATATAATTATACCGCTTCTCATAATACTATGCATGTTACAATAAAGTCGTATCCACTACGCCAAAATCTTACAAGTATTCTATATTAAATATAACAAGTATTAGCAAAATGAGAGCCTAATTGCGGAGACTGGAGTCCAATTTACATATACATTTACATATAACAGGTATTCTATATACCACATTTAATAATAAACTGTATTGACTAAAGATTTTCGAAAATCGACTTTAACATTTAGCGTTTAAAGTCTATTTTAAATTTTTTGTTGTCCTCGTAGTTTATTATTAAGTGACCTTATACAAGATTAGTTGTATAAGGCAAAGCTAAAAGCCATTGACAGTATTCATTAAACTGAATAACTTTCCTAAGGAATCAAATACTACTAGTACTGTCATAAAATGGTCAAGTTTGTGAATTTAGATGTTAGGGAGAAACTACTACGGATCTGATTTAGATTTTTTTAAATGTTCGTGGCTGATTAAGGAAGATACTGTATATATACTATATTTCTATAATAACATTACACTACGACCTATAGAAGCGGAGCTGTAAAATGAAAAATGTGGCATTAACGGGGAAAATTCGCAGATAAAGTTGGACGGGTCAGATTTTTTAAAATATTTTGGAGACCTTACAATCTGCATGGTCACGTGGTCAATTCAGTGTGTAAAGTAACGCTATATATCTGAAGTTCAAAACCTCTAGTACCGGCACTTGGACAAACGATTCTAATAATTATGAAGTCCAGCCCAAAAGCAATAATTACACTGTTGATCACTGCAAAATGCGGACTCAGCTTGACGTCACTCTTTATAACAAATATATTTTCGTGGTGGATACGATTGAACTTATTAGAAGTACGACTATATTGTATTATCTTGCAGTTTCTGTGAGGAAAATGTAAATAAGTAATAACTATACTGGATCGTAATTAGATTGTTTTGTATATTACAATAATCTTTGTAGATTTTTAGGTGTTATTAATTACCGATTGATAGAAGGTTATTTATAGAACCCATTCCACCATATTGACTCAAAAGAATTTCGCCACTTACATTGTATAGGACTATATTTAGATCAGATAAAACCAGGCGAGTTAATAGCTACTTTATTAGAATCAATTTTTATATCTTGAGCCTACTAATATAGACAATTACATCAGTTCAGTCATCTTACTGATGGACTAACTAAAAAAACAGTTAATTTCGTTGCCAGTTCTTCTGAACTCAAATTGAATGATAACGTTAAAATACAGTAAATACAAAAACGACAAATGAACTTACCTATAGATAAATAGAATATATGCTTGACAATTGTTTTTATAGATTTTTATGTGAATTATAATAATTATTATTATATATTACTTTATATGAATTGCTTTTTAATTTGAACTTTATATCACGGATTATACAAAATTAATCATAATAAGATTCTCCTGAAGTGGCTATATTAACTAAAATTATTTGTATATATTATTGACTTTGTAGGTTGTATACGCAAGTGTAACAAACGAAGCATGATACGTCCTTCCAGTTTTAGTATCTAGCTGTAGTAACGGTAATAGAATTGTATCTTTGAATATGCATAAATGAAATTGCAAATTATTTATGCATCCTAATTAATAGTGAAGTTAAAAGTTATCTGTAGATATTAGGTGTAGATGAAGTTTTAGTTAAATGATTTGGAATGTTTCGAAGACATTTTTTTTTTTTAATTGTACAATAGTTGTAAAGTATAATATACATCTAATAAAACAAATACCAAGCTACAGCCAGTCATAGTATTCAAGAAAACTGAATCTTTTTCCCAAAGAAACAAAGTTGGAAATAGAAATTTAATTTCTAAGTCTTTATACGTAGAGACTTGTACTTATGCAAAAATTTATACTTTGCATTAAAACTACACGTCCAAATGGCTTTCATACACTGTACATCAAATCAGTGTTTTATGGAGGAAATAAATATTATTATTATATATGTACAAACTGAGCTGTTACGTGATTAATTTTGTATGAAAAATTATATGTACAGAGAGTCACTTTGTTTCTTAATGAAAGTGGTTTTAGTGTCTTCAGGATTCTAACTGGCATTTTGCTTTGTATACTCTTTATATATATATCTTCATATTAATATTATATGTATGACTATCTTGTCTTTTCCATTCCAAATTTCGCCGTTCATTAGATGTCATAAATACTCGACATAATTATGGAATAATCTCTCTTCGTTAAATTTATGATTACCACGTAGTCATATAATGTAATAAGCACATATTATGCCATGGGAACTTCAATAACTCCTTCACATATGGGCACTTGTATAAATAGAACCCACAGCAAAATGTCACTCTTGTAGACTATGCAGTTTATATTACGCATTAATCAGACTCGTCTTTTATATATATAATATTGGTATATGATTTATATTTATATAACTTTAAAAGTTTAGGAGTTGCATGCTTATTGTACAAGCACATTCACCTCATTGCATTATACATTAAAATCTAAATGTTTTAGAAATAAAAATGTAACAAAACCGTGTACTCTGGAAAATATTTTGAAAATAACAATTGTAGAATGACGACGATTTGATTTTTTTCCAGACTATTACGGTTATTATGTCAAAGTTTGTGTTCAAATCATACATACGATTCAATTTCCCGTTTCAAATATAGTACTTCAAAATTTTCCTGTTTAATGGTTTCCATACTGAGTTATATATGTTTTATTATTGAATTTTAATAACCCTATTAATTTATTGTCTGCATGTCTGTATGTTTATCGTAACATGTAAAAATTCCCATCGTTTACTATTTTGTAATAATCTTCTCGTAAACTCGACCTCTTTTTATCTTATATTTTATGTCAGCTATAAATTGAAAATTTTGTTTTTAAAATATATTTCTTAACACAGTAACTATAATATATAATAAGTATTTAATATAATTATTGCTCCCATATTACACCAAACATGCTGACATCCAATATATAAGCACAAGTTATTTCAAATAACTGACAGATCACATTCTTTACATTCTAACTGAAAAATTTACAAAGTTAACGTCATTGACCTGTTACTTTTAAACTTTCGTGTTTAATATATAATAGATTATTTAAATTATTAATAAATGAGCACATAAAGGTATACCTCTCTCTTTATTTGCCATAAAAATATTCGTGTTAAGACCCGGTTAATAATTTTAATAATGTCATTAACCTGTTATATAATCTATATAATTTCTACTATAATATCTATATATAATTCTCACTGACTCTCTCTTTATCTTCTTTCGCCTATTTCTTAGTTAGACGTTACCATAGATAAATTAGTAGTCGACGATTACTACATTTCACTACCTAAAATACGTTGTTATTGCTTACCTTACACGGAATATAGAGTAGAAAAATATAAATATTATCGAATGGAATAAAATATTGAGTATTAAATTAATAGGGTTAATAAAAGTAAATCAATACAATTTATTTGTATTACTGATAATATTAATACCACAACTATGTAAATTATATCAATAGAGAAGTGAATACAAATACCCAAAATTTAACCGGTCACTATACTTGTATGTATGTATGTCACAGCACAAGTTCGCAATGCGCGCGCGAGCTTTCTCGGAACCGCGCGAGAGTGCAGACCCGTGCGAAGAGCCGGCACCAAGAGATGCACCCCGAATTGCAGCCCGTCTGCTCAGGACTGAGCTGCCTCGCCAGCTAGACCATAAGGTAACGTTCATTCATTTATATCTACTAATTATTTATTATAATTATACATCAACAAATAATGTACTTGCAACAAATATGGTACACAAAAATTGGTAAATGGATTGTTTGGTAGATTATAATAATGATAAACCTGGGACAATTTACGCAGCGCCATCTAGTCCCATGTTAAGCAGGGATTGTACTATATGTGTTATATTTACTAGACCACTGATATTAACACTTAAATTTTGTTTTTAGTAAGTACATATATATTTTTTTATTTATTTAGATAATCAACGGCTTATGCAATATATACGCATTATTTAGTATTATATCTCATAAATTTATCGAAATGTGAACAGAGTTATATTAACAAGCAATTTTAAATTTAATCTCAGCTGCAATACAGTATAAATTGGATACTCTCGAGATTAATACAAACAATGAATCGCATAAATACAAATGTTTGTACTGTGCGCGGAACTATTTCGATGACTATCGAAAGTAAGGCGGTATGCTACTAATACTGGTGGTTGCAGCTGACCTTTACAGCTTTACCGGACGAAGGTGTCATATATCTTAACTTGCTTTTGCCCGCAGCTTCGCTCGCGTTAATTTATTTCTTAGGGGTGGAATTTATTAAGATCCTTTCTTAGAGGATGCGTACGTCATAGTAGCTTTATGCATGCAAAGTCTCAGCCCGATCGGTTTAAAATTGACAAAGTTTCATACAAACTTTCATCCCCTATTTTATCCCATATCAAAATCCTTTCTTAGCGGATGCCTACGTCATAACATCTACCTGCTGGCCAAATTTCAGCCCGATCCATCCAGTGGTTTGAGCTGTGCATTGATAGATCACTATGTCAGTCACCTTTGAGTTATATATATTTAGATAATATTATAAACCCGATAGTTTATCACTTAAAAACTACTGAACGGATTTTGATGAAACTTTACAGTAATATAGCTTATGCAACTGAATAACACATAGGCTATATTTGATATTGAAATTTGTATATTAAAATTTAACGCGGTGGAAGCCGCAGGCACATCTAGTATTTATATACAAAGATACTCGCAGAGGATATGTGTACCCATATTACAGTGTATACACAGTTCCCTTGACAAATAAGCCTGCATATGCTGTAATATAAATATGTAAACACTGAAAACTACAATCTACAATATCTGCAACTTTGCAGGGTGAACCCACTGGATTAGCACCGTTTGAAGAATTACTGGAGGCGCGCGTCCGCGACCTGAGCATTGCTCTCAACATGAGTACAGCCCTAGCACTCGCAGAGTTCATAGAGGACGAAGTTATCGTACCACCCATGCCTTTAGAGGTAAGATATATATACAAAACATGTGTATTTTTCAACCGCCTTTATAAAATGGACAGCTTAGAATTTTATTATATTTTTTTATGTGTGATTCCATTTTGATCACTCTCTTTTTTTAAAGCTGGTGCTTCTTGTGGTACTCCCTTTGTCCTTTCCATATAATATATACCTTATGTGTATTAGAAGGGGAAAGACGGTGGCGCCACCAAAAATTCGTAACTTATAAATAAGTCATATGATTACTATATATTGATTGGAGCTAACACCTACTTGAAATTTTTTTTTATTACTAATACGAAATCTAGGATTTAATCTTTCATGGTTCAGGTATTAATAGACAACGTGAAGCTCCATTTAATAGAAGACCGGCTGACCCGTTCAATATCATCTCCTCCACCACAACCACTCGACATCGACCTGACCACGTTGAGGCTGACCAGAGACAACGCCGGGGTGGTCCGCCTCGGACCCCCAATCTCCACACCATCGACAATAGCGTCCCCAGCCACCCCCCAGCCGCAACCAGAGCTGGATGAAGCTAGAGAGAAGATAGACAGGTTGAGTAGGGAGAACGAGGAATTGAGGAAGAGATTAGGGACACTGGCGAGGATAGCTGAGGATAATAGGGAATTGAGAGCGTGAGTGTTTGAATTAAATGGAATTTGAATAAAATATTATTTGAATTGTTATATAATGCTAGACAAACAGACAAACGTTGTTTTGTCACATAAATTTACGTACTAATCTAAATAACTTTTAAAAAATAAGAGTAGATGAAGAGACAGAGGTTAAAATCAAGTGTGGATTTCATCCATTTTCTAAAGCTGAATCATAAAACAATTAAAATTGGAGAGTACTATGTTACAATATCACTTAGGGGTAGGACAAATAGTTATGTTCTATCTCAGTACTTAATACAACACTCAAATATATTATATGCATTCAGTACTCAGACCTACTGAATGTATATAATAAATTTCATTAGAATCGGTCTAGCCGTTTCGGAGAAGTTTTGTTACAAACACCGAGATAAGAGAATTTTGTAGTATCATAGCTTATATCAGAATAATACATAGGCTATAAATATCACGCTAATATGTAGATAACTATTTCATAAAAATACACTTGATTTATTAAAAATATTTTTTATTTTTTTATTTTACCTACTAATAATAAAGTATTCACCATATAGTATTTTTTATGTTATTTTGTTAGCTTATAATAATAATTTATTAAGTGTAGCAAAGTATAGTGTGTAAAATATAAAAGAACTTCAAAACTAATATTTCGTGACGTCCCTGATGATATATTTTGGTAATATTGATTATAAATGTTGCAGCAAATTAGAAGAGGCGTCGATGCTACGGTCGTGTGTTCACGCTGCCCAGCAGGAGGCGGCCAGCTTGCTCGCAGACAAGCAACAGTTGCTGGACGCTATGCGAGTCATGCAGGTATATATAATACCAATTGAAAGTAGACCAACACGCTAGTTTCTTGCTCATTCTTTTTGTGATAAGTCTGTGCTCCGAATGAGCGGTAGAATAATAAAAAATGTCTATTCAACAGTGTTTATATTAGATTTATTTGAATAAATATTATTTCTATTTGTATTTCAATTGATACTGATCTTTATGAACAGTTTAGCACTCCACCTTAATTCAGACGATCGCGGGTTTGATACTTGGCACAGTACAGTACAAACATTTATATTCATGTGTATGATTGTTTACATGTATAAATTTATCAGGAGATAAATAGAATTAAATCATAAGGGGCTTTTCAAATACTATAATATCAAATTCTTATATAAAACAGGAGCAGTTGAGCGGTTGTCGCGGAAAAAGATAGCGGTCCCGAAGCGGTCAGCCGCACAGCTGTCTCGACTGTACCGCGTGTTGCGGCGATCACCGCGCCTAACTGCCAACTGACCAGTGCCCAGTGCCCAGATACGTACCAACACTATGCAGTACCAATACTAAGGACTATAAAAACAGAGTGGAAACTTGAGCTCAAAGCAGTCAAACAAAAAGTTGAATATAATACAAATATTTTAATTGCATCACAAATTGATTGGTCCTTCTGGGCCCTCTCCTACTGGAGGTCACCGATCACCATGTCAATCATAACCGTATGGCATTCTAGAAAATTTTGGGTACATGACATCACTGTATAATAATAAGGGTTTCCCTAACTAAACGATGATGTTTGCTCGTTGAACTGGACATCGAGGCTGGAACATCTTCCTCCTTTAAGGAATTAAAGAAGGAGGATACACCTGCATTTTGTATTGGGTTTTGATTATCTAGTTGCAATAATTATGTAATCTATGAAATAATGTCATATTTTTACGACTGTCTCAATTGCCACAAGATTCTACTTGGAGATTGAGATAAACATAAAAATATATAATCCACTTATACCGTCATAAAAGATACATCAAGAGAGTACTACTAAGAGAGAAATTATCATCAATTATTGGTCGTCAATTGTATTGATGATGACCACACATAGTTGCCGAAAAACGAAAATACTACAATCGATTTTACAGCTAATTGCTATTTTTCTTACAAAAATAATATAATAATTTCTTTGTAGGAAAAATAGCAATAAATAGAAATAAACAAAGCAGAGTTTATTAACTACCAGTTGAAAATGTTACCTATATTAATGTTATAAAAAGGGAGACAGAGAGAGAATTTGCTGGAGCAAGTTGAACTCCGGAATCACAGCATAGATTTAAGAAATTATTTTACCATTTCAAAGCTAATTTATACCAGAGTAACTTTACAGAGGTTATATATTATGTTATAATATACAAAACTCACAAAGTTATGGAAACCTGAGCGAAGCCGGGGAGGGGCAATAGGTTTACACATTTATTAAACGGTTTTCGTTTTACAACATTCATACTGTTCTTTTAAATATTCATATATGATTTTACAACGGACTATGATGTTTGAAATCGATTTTGTATTGGATAATGATATCGTAATATCCAATTTGGAAACCCAATGATAAAAGGGTATATATTGTGATTGTATTTAAGTACTTAGAGAGGCATTTACTATCATTAGAAAGTTAAACTATTGTACAATCAATTTATTATTGTAAATGAATAGGCGACCGGTCGAGTCTTCCTATAGCATATCAGAAGGTGAAATTATATGGAGTGGAAGAACATAGTAAAATAGAAACATTGAACTTAAATCTATAAATGATATATATTATATTGTTGTTTTAAGAAATTCACACGATCTCTATTGTAATGTATATATATATAAGTGTATATGTATAGTATACATATAACGTGCCATCATATTTTGAAAACATATTATATATATATGTATATATTAATGGAAAAAAATTGGTATCAAATTAAACATGTATTGTAACACCAAGGCTTTCTACCAGATGCTATGCTAATATTTTTATAACTTTGTACAGAAATTTAGTGAACTTTATCTGGTTTTGTATTTTGCTATAATTTTTTCGACGTCATGACTTGAACTCTTTTTCAGGGTGAGCAGAGCAGTGTTACAGCTCCTACTGTATGCATTAAATTTACACACAGAGTTACATAAATATTAGTGGAATGTACATACATATTAATAATAAGGTGTTAATCTCATTATACTATTAATGTACTCTTCCAAAATATGGTCTATCTATATAACCAATTTTACTAAAAACACTTCAGTCTTTTTACCGTAATTGACTATGATACTTCTATTATTATAATGTTATTGAAATATCAATAAGGATTGATCTGTTAGAGGCTGTACGTAGAGTTTGTCGTTAGTCATGGTTTTGAAATAATTCGTTATAAATGATTGTTGATATACGATTTTATTATAAATCTTATATAAAGAGGTTATTACACCATCAATAACGAGCTTTGTAAACAATTACAAGATGATAACTATGTATTTTCAATATCCAAAAGGGTTGGATGATTTTTTATGTTATATAAAAAAAAAATCTCTTTGAATATTTTTGAAATATGATAATGAATATACACGGGGAATCTATGAAAGTCAACCTGGCAGTACACAGCGACTATTATGTATGTACTTATATAATATTCATTAACCTAATTATCTAGTGGTATTTGTTCCTATCCAACTAAATGGGTCCTTAAATAGATCTCTCTAACGTGTTTAGTGTTCATATATATCTAAAAATATTGGTAAATCACACAGTAGTATATCATATAAACAATTGAAATCAATGAGGCAAAATTAAAACCAAATAAGAAATGGGAGTATGAATAATATTGAAGAAATATAGACTGTAATAGAAGGAAGTGTGCGCGTCGTATCATTAAAAAATAATGAAAAATTGACTATTTGTCTTTTTAGAATATTTTCATTGACACTTCCAACTAAATACTACGCCTTATTAATAAATGTAGGTGTATGATTATTAAATGAACTTTTCCAATAAAATAATAAGGACTTAATAATATCATAAGTCAAACTGAATGTGTTTTTATTGTGTATATTTATGTCATGACATGACGACAAGACAAGCTGTCATCACAGCATCTTGTGTTAGAATTTTGGTCATATTCTTTGTGCATATACGAAATATGCATAATTTCAATCTGCAATTAATTATGGAACTCTGCAGATAATGTTTGTCATATAAAGATCAACATATAAAGAGGATGACAAAACAGCTTAGGAAGTGGAAAGAGCTCCATAATAAGGTGTGAATTCTATACTGACTAAACCCATCATACTTAAGGAATATTTTTAAAAGGGAAGGATTTTTCTAACCGATCGATCTATTTGAATTTTCGAATTACAAGTAATGACTGTAAATCAATGTTATATCAGACGTTTAATATCAAACTGCATTAACACAAAATTATAAAGTGAAGCCATCAGGCATTAAGTCCGCCATATATACAATTTTGTGTGCAAAAGAATAAATAAATAAAATTGTAAAAATTCGATTTTTAAAGTTACAATTCTTAAAGTTTGAGGTAATGCAGTTTAGTATTAAGCGATATATTCAATTTGAGATTATATATGTTATTAAAATACAGAGAAACGTCGCTTTACACAAATTATAGTAGGATTTGTTGTGTATAACCCGTCAATAATGAAAGTGCTATTCAATTAATGTTTCGCTCTTAATGCGAGAGACATATTAAACTTGTCGTAGTTATATACAAATTAAAACCTATTAGGGATGTGTAAAGCGATGTTATGACCATGTATTTTATAAGTTTTATTATGTACCGCTGTTAGTAACAATTCTCAATTATAGCACATGAAAATCAATGGGTTTATGATTTTTTTATAAAACATTTAACATTTGCAATTGCGTATCATATAATTGCTTTACAGCTTCACCAGACGATGGGGGACGAGTGCAGATGACACTCCTGTGGTAGGACTTATGGAGCGGCTGAAGACTAACTCATGCCTGTCGAATACGACTTTAGTCTGAGGGCATCCTAGGGGTTAGAACCTTGATCCCCGTTTATGATCCCCGTTTGGGCAGGCGATTAGAGAGAAATATGATTGCTTGTAATTGAAACTCCCAAAGGCATCTTATAATACAGCAAACCTATTTATTTGAACATGTTATAATTGATAATTGTTCCCAATATCGTTACATAATAAGAGGACTGTTTGTATAAAGCAATATGGCAGTTTAATATATCAATATAGCTTTCAATGTTACATTGTTTAATCGTAAATATAAGACACCTTCTCTCAAATAGTGTCACATAAATATTGTACTATTAATTATTGAATTCATCATAAATTTAACTAAAAATGAGTTATATATATATGTGGTGTCTTAAAAAATAATCGTCCTAAGACAAAAAAAAAGTTTTTTTTTTTTGTTGTGACACTATATGAGAAAAAGCGCGGTAAATCATAATGACGTTTCCATTAATGTTTTCGTGCCAAAAGCACAGACTGTGTTGATATAAATGGTTGTAAATAGTTAATAAAATGATAATGTTTTAAAAGATATTTTTTTATAATTACTTTCATTGTTTTTCATTTTAACAATTTTTGTCCCAAAGGATGTAGTTATTTTTATATTTAATAAATGTGAATCTAGTGAGATTTTTAGAAATGTCTTTTGAATATATTGGCGGTATGTATAAAAATGGTATATTATGTATAAACATTTTTATTGTGACACCTTATGGTTTTGCAGTCTAATGTATCTTGTGTAGCTACTCTATGTAATGACTTATACATTTATCTCCTTTTTACTCTGTGTTAGTATTAATGAAAAACGTGCCTGTATTCTTAATTAGGTACATAATTAAATATATAACAGATTACAATTTATTGGTGTTGGTGAATTGGGGTTTTTGGCGGATGTGTAGTGTTTTTCTCTATAGTATTTATATTTCATGTTGTGGCTGCTGATTGAATTGGTTTTATTTAGTAGCTTTAATTTAATAGTATATACAGGTGGTTCCTATAATCACCCTATACTGAAGCTTTAATATATATAATTATATGATACCTATGTAGCTTGTAATTAAAAAAAGTAAGAGTATGAGAGAGTAAAGTTACTTCACAGCGTTTCTCTGCTCTAACTACATTACGAACTTCGGATGATTTTATTTTATTTATTATAAGTGTATGTAATAGGTCTATAAATAAATATTATTTTTTCTTTGTTGCACAGATAATATAGTAAATAATATAATTTAGAGAAAAATAATGAAAGGTGGACTGTGAGAAGAGATATCTTCGTCTGATTCAATGGCTAATAATTGGACAAAAAAAATGACAAACTACATAATGACAAAATATGACCTTAATTTTATTAATGAAATATGTAAATAATGACTTCACAATGTGAAATCAAGTTATATTCGCCAATTAAAATATCTTATTTTTCAGTTCATCAACACCCGTAATTATATATTAGTCTTTAAATTTTCGCTTACATCAAGGTGTACCCTACCTATATCCAATTGTATTTGAAACCTATTTATAAATATGTGTACTACTCAATAATTAAAATCTATAGATATTTGCTAATGTCACAGTATTACAATATCTTCCTTACAGTAGCGCAACGTTACTGCGGTCGGGTTTACTGTCAAACGTGTGAGTAAACATTATTCTTTAGACTTACCCATGTAATCATAAAAAAGATTATGCACCTTTTTAAATACGTCGCAATTCGGTACCGTGACTCCGTCAGGAAGGAGTTCGTCTTCGGCCAGCCCGGGTTTGGAACTCGCTCCTATCTTCGCTCAAAGCAGAAAAGGACGCTACGCCCAAAAACATTAAAATTCGAAATAATCAGTACCGTACCGGGCCGTATGATTGTTTGTCACTATATAGTAGTATAAAAAAGGGTAGGCCCTAGTTTAATGATGTACCGACTACACTCTTTGCCCAACTGTATGGAAGAAACTGTGCTAATGTGCTTCAAGTGTCTTCATATATCGTGTTATTTGTATCTATAACGACAATTAGTGTACTATGATAGTTATGCAAATCAATTCCATCTTATTTTACTATAAGAAATACCTTTTGACTTAAAAAAAATATTGCAGATTTTAATTTACGGTTTTGTGTAGTTACATACAGACATACATGCAGTCGGCATATAGCGACAGAAACTTTTCTGACCCGGTGGCGAAAATTGGTACTAGTTTAAAAACCGTGAATTTTTATGTAATGGTAACACAAAATTTATCATCAGCGTTGTTGTCATCAGGCCAGATAAATTTATGCAACTGTTGCATTAAATTTAGCTGTGATGGAAATTGGAATAATGTAAAAAGCGCGGAGATTCTATTTAGTGGCAACACTAAATTCAACAACGTCGCTATCACCATAGATCCAGATAAGTTTGTGAAACTGTTCTCTTTATGAAATTCACTTGTCTGTAATATAGATATATGTTTGTATTATTGCAAATTATGTTTTTGTTTGAAAGGCCAACAGGTAAATGAATACATTTACGTAAATATCAAACACCGCGTGTTCTATTTCATATTCATAATTTTTATATCAACTAAAATGCCATAATCTGTTACTGGTACAGTCAGCTTAAAAAAGGTTGTAGCGTATAGAATACTTACTATCATAAGGTACACAATTTCAGTCTTATGTATCTACTACATATCTCAATTTATTATCATCTGATATGTTCAATAATGTAACACAAAACCTTATACATTTTTAAAATTCTATACAATTCGCTTTGGATAGCTACTTTACGGAAATTTGAAATCGTTGAATACTAAAAAATATATGAAACTTTACTGCCATGATATATGTCGATATATCCTGCATTCCCTGCTATATGTTAGGTCATAGTTTTGTACGATATTAATGGAAATATCGTAGCTTTAAATTATTAAAAACTAGTACCTAAGGAAATTCATTGATCCCTTATCAAACCGCAATTTTTACTTGTATTCATTAATTCTGGATGAAAATATAATGATATTAAAGACGCGAATTTCCATCATTATCATGTGTACATGTAATAATATATATACAAGGGAACGTAAGTAGTTTAGTACCAGCCTATACATTAATGATTATTATATTAGCTGCAACTATATATGAGGCTGACTGTACAGCATATGTGGTATTTACATATTTAAAAATACACATTTTTTTAAATGTTATATTTTGTAAACAAACATTCAATATACATTTCATTTTAATTAAAATAGGTACTTTTATTGTCTGATGTAGATTATATAGAACATACATTTTTTATATTGTACACGTTATATATAAACTGATATTTACCATGATAATAATACTGTACATGTATTACATGTATATATTATGCGGTTTCTATGTTGATTGTAACATGCCTAATTTTTGTTAATGTGTATTTATTTTTACAACATCTATTTAAAAGAGCAACACGCAGGTTTCTGGCTCATTATTCTTGTGATGAGTCTGCGTTCCTAATGAGTGGAACAATAAAGAAAGTGTTTAAATATTAAGTTTATATGAATAAAGATTATTACTATTTCTATGAGATTATATTTGTAATAGTGGCGATATATCGCCATCGCTCTCAAATATCTCGTATATATAACGTGTATAATTAATTGTAAACAATGTGAAATAAAATTACAACAATGTTTAAACATATTAAAAATCATTGAAGTACCTGCCATATTCCCGTTCAATTTATTATCATATTTTTTTTTATTAAAATGTGTGTATAAATAAACTGTTGTTGCAATCTGTCTAGTGAAGGAATTGTTAAATATACATTAAAAATATTCTATATATAAATGGCATTTTATTTCTTAATATTCTTGAAACTAACTGTGCCGGTTATATTCCAACCTTTCAAACCGACGTCGCGACGTCAAAATTGGAATAGTATTTACTTTGCCACAACGTTATCTATGTACAGAAGCTAACACTTTTTTTACTGTGTGATAATGCCCCCTTCGATTGATCCCCTGTCCAATTGAAACGGCCGTTTTTGATCCCTGGCGATCGAAATTACAACTGCCTGACCCGAAGTTCCAACCCCTTGCGGTGCCCGATTCAGATTAAAAATCAAATCAGTTATGTAGGAGTTGGCCTTCAGCCGCTCTAGAAGTCCCGCCAATTTGATTTGGTATCTGCACTCGCCCCAATCATTTAGTGAAGCTGGAAAGCCAGTAGCGGCCAACTGCTTTAAAAAAAACGGTAAATGGAATTATGCTCCCACCTAACACTATACTTTGACTGGGCATCAGTGTAGGATGAGCATGACTAGGTCAGTTAATCCATGGTGCATCGTGATGAAATTACTTCCGATGGTTTGCAGATGGGACAGTATGGAATCTACCTAACACAATGTAGTACCAGCAACGTGGTGAGTTTTGAAATATTTTAGTCAGTAAATCATACCGTTGATAAAAAGTGCATATTGCAAGTATATACTTGCCTAATGTTAAGGAAATGAAATTAACTCTACGCCTTAAGAAAAAATGCTTAGCTATTAATTTAATTAATTGTAAGCTTGTGTACTTCGTAAACGAACAAGTTTTGAAGAATTCTTCCAAATATGTTCAATGTGAACCAGTTCGTAGATCAGTTGCTCTTTTGTTCGTTTAACTTAACTCTTGCTAAAGAAACGACACAATATAGTAGTATTCGTAAGACAGCTGCGAACTGAATAAAGTGATCCCAGTCGCAAATTATTAAGCGCAAGACTGTTTAATTTACTCTTTGATAACTAGTAACACAGATAACATAATATTACATAAACGACGGCAATTAAATTAAATTAGAGACCATTAAACATTAATGTGTACTGCAAAAACCGTTATTTTTACATCTATGTCAAGATAACTATGTGGAGTCATCGATATCATAAAATGTTTTCTACGATATTTTTCATCCGATATGTATAATACAGCCATATCATTAGTAATGTTTTTCTAATATCATTCATCCCTAAGATAAATAATCAAAGTTTATTCAAACCATATTCGTTCAGATATTGGAATATCTGTACTGTATAGTGTATTCGAACGGAACTTATCCTTAAAATAATAATATTACGACTAATGGACTACAAAAATTGGGGTCTTAATTATATCTATAATGTTTAATTATTAAGCTTCAGGTTTTTCAAATTGAATGAGTAAAGTAATATATTTTTGTTTCTGAACTGATCATACGATACAATTATATTGCTAAACTTATCCGAACGTTGGGCTTGACAGTCCAAGGTACAGTATTGCAAGTATTAAAATAATACCTCTTTCTTGGCATATTTTGACAATTTTATTTCATTAAACTCTGTAATATGTTATAACGTTTGAATCAGCATGTTAAATCATTTTAGTAAGAAAAGATTAAGATAGTTCTTAAATTATAGTTAGATTGTGCACTGTATATTTTATGATCCATGGCGTTGTAAGCTGTTATATGGTCTATATATTCTGTTTCAACCGTGATATTTGTGTATCTTACCATAGTATGTATCACATATAATATATTATATTAATATTTTTTGTTTATTAACATGGTGCAATAAAGTGTTCAAATAAATAAATAACGTATTCTTGCTATAACAGCTGCCAATTTTTTTATGAATATAATTTATTTACGTATTACTTAGAACGAAATAGAACTATTACAATTGTTTCGAATTTTTTAAATGATAACTGAGAAACTTGTTCATAATCAACTTTAATGTGAGTCTAATTGTTATTACAAATATAATGTAATGGAACAGGCTGATGTACTCTAAATCTTTTATATTAAGAAACGAACATAAAGAACTAATTATTCGTATTCTTACAAAAAATTATAGTCCTTTCGTTAATTATAATTTGTATTATAATACATTTAACTAAGCTTTTGGGTAAATTGAAAAGAATGTTGGTAATAAAAATACACGTGAATCGAAAATAACGTGACTTCTGCACTGTGGCAACATTTTTAGTTATGGCCGATGTTTGTGATGGAAAACATCGTTAGTCGTTTCGTTGCCGAATTTTAGTGTTGAAATAAATCAAGATTAATAATCGGTTTTTAAAAGTGAATTTTAAAAATACGTAAATACATTTTATTGTGAATTAGTGTTAGTGACTAAATCGGTGTTAACGGATATCGAAATGTTTGTTGTGTCCTTCTAGTAATAGGCTCTGTGTTAAAATCTATTGGATTACGGTTTTGGTGTTTATTTAATTGTTGTGAACTACAGGTGAGTTGTTGGCTATTTATGTTTTATATTTTCTGCAATGTGTTTGCGGGACTGGTTTTATTGCCACGAACGCTGTGTAGCGTGTTATGTCGCCGAGCGGCCGGGTTTCCTCGTACCGAGATAACGGCAGATTACGACAGATTGTACAGATTCTGATAAAATTCTTTTGCATCGTGACATTGAAAAGCTCTCCACGCGAGTCTGGTTACCGGGTTTTCAATGTATAATACAAATTTTTACATATATTCTCAGCTCTCGCTAAGAACCAGAATCCAGTGCGCAATTCAATTTTATGCTCTATTTACTAAATAAAAAGCTTTTTTATACGAGAAATTTGAGTGAGAGCTATTTACATGCTATTACTCACTTTATAGCGGCCAATTTATAAGTAATGTGTAGTTTCTTTTCTTACACCAATAGTCCAATCAAGCTATGTAAGTGTAAACGTAAGGAAAGTGAAATTACGTATAACCGATTATGTAGGTATATTAACTCATTTTACACAGTAAATAAATTGTTTTGTTTAATTATTTATATTGGAAAATGCAGATTAGATTATATAATTTTATCTAAATGTGAACATACTTGTGTTTATCCAGTAATATACAGTTATCATATCAAATACTTAAAAACTGTAGTGTCAGGTTATATAAATAACATTCAGGCTTATTATGAAACTGTAAAATAATGTGATATAATTTAGATAACAGTCATTTAACTAAATTAATTATTTAAGAGGATGTTTCCTCATGGATTTAGCCTTTCGTTATAAATATTGCAACAATTTATTTTGTGTACTTTTATGTATAAGAGATCTACACTACACAAAATTTATATGTATAGTCTGCAACTTTGTCTGCGAGACCATAATAGATTGGGCTAAACATAGTCATTAATGTCATTCTAAGTCTGAAATGAACATGGAATACTATTTTATATGTATATGCCAATTAATGATTAGTGAAATAGTTAAAGAAGCATAAACATTCACTATTTTTCTTTATTATTAATCTTAAGTTACCCCAGTAGCTGGGTAAAGATCTTCTCTGATTCTTTTAATCACTCTCAATTCTACACTTTTCTTATTTGAAATATTAATAATTAGACTTATTTAGTCATACTATTATGAGTTAATTAAATAGTAACAGATGGAGGTTATTCTATATTTAACAATTATTTCGTAATTATTTATAACCAAGTGACTGAACATGTATAAATATAGATTTATATTACCACTATCAAAGTGATTAACTGAGTGTGTATTAGTATATGTGATAAATATATTTTCCGTTAGACAATTTTTTCATGTACTTGCAATGGCAATCATAGACAATAAGTGATACCTATAGACATAAATAGCAGCCATGGATATCATAAAATCGAGTTATAACAATTGTTTAACATCAGGTTTAACATCATGTCATGTTGCCCTCAATGGTTACCCCCTGGATACCATTGTTATAAAATCCTGGTGTATTTGTCATGTTGGGCTACCTGACCTAACCTCATGCTCATCTTATTATCCTCCACTGCGAGATATACTTATCATATCATCTACTTATATTATATGAGTAAACGATGATATGAGGAGCAGGAAGTCAGGTAAGTTAGGCTATCATGAGGAATTCAACAGGTGTTTGCCATGGTGGATTCTGGTGAGATCCAATGTAGGTCAACCTGATGTGACAAATTAGCAAGACGTCTCTCCCATTCCTAACAGTCCCATTCCCCGCAAGCTTACATAAGTTTAATTCACAACATAATTAAAATAAGTTATACATTTCAATAGTGATAATAATATCCTTGGACAATTCACACAGTGCCATGTAGTCCCAAACTGAACAGATCCTGTTATATATTAGAGAACTGATATTTAAGGTTGGCAACGCGCATGTGACACCCCCGGTGTTTCAGGCGTCCATAGCCTGCGGTAACTGTTAACCGCCAGATGGGCTGTCTGCTTGTTTCCCACCAATGTGGTATAAAAAAATATACACAAAGATACATAATATACACACAGAAAACACTTAGACAAATCATTACAGATAATCATACTCAATGTTTGCTATTAAAATACATTTCTATTATTATTATTCCAACAGAGATAACACTCCCAAGTTCCAACTGTTCAATTACATTACTACATCAATCTGTGTCCTACACACCCACACACAAGGTCTTTATGCAATGCCTATAATTAGCACTTAAGTATTTTGTTTGTAATATATACACATATACATACTCGTCTCATCTGTAAACAACTTGGTAAGCAATATTCAAGGTTTAATTTAACATTTAGGATATTTGTTTTTCTAACTGACTACTGTTAAACTAATTTTCGATACTCAATATCTTGTTTTTTAGTAATAATGTATTATTCATTAATATAAGTTCTTTTAATAATTGTATGTGTTAAAATAAATGAAAAAATAAATAAATAATATGACACATTCATTCATATAATTTAAATATTGTTATTAGTTAAAACTAAACACTGGAAGCATATAATCAAGTTCATACAAAAATATCCAATAATCTGTTATAAGTAGGCTTCAATTCTCATTGATAAAGATAAGATAGTTTTGCTGATTATTTATGAGAATATTTGCAATATTCTAAATAGTAAGATGGATAATAAGCGTAAAAAGTGTTTAAACGTTTTAAGGGTGCCTTGGGAGTATTTACGATACATAATAATCGCTAGAGACAATTCACATAGCGCCTTATACTTCCAAATTTAGCAGAGCTTATACTGGGAATTAAGGAATACCTACATTTTTTTTTTAATGTACAAAATACCCAGATCCTCCCAATATCCCAGACCTTATCAAATTAGATGATAATTTTAGCAATAGATTGTGTTTACATTAATCGGCCATAGTGGGTGTCCAGTAATAACGTGATGTTTTTCAGCAACTTATTTATTTCAGGCTAGTAGGTATGTTAGTCTACATACATATGAATGAATAATATAAAACTATGATCTTGAAATTGATATTGCAATTTTAACCCCGTCAAAATAATAAATAATAATAATAAATAAATAACCCTAAACAATTACGAGGCGCCATCCAGTTCCACGGTACGCAGAGCTTATGTTGTGGGTACTAGACAACTGATACGTATACTTTTTTTTTTGTAAATACATACATAATATAAATAGAATACACCCAAACCGATACAAACAATCATACTCATGAATACAAATGTTTGCACCGTGCGAGGAATCGAACTCGCGACCATCAGAAGTAAAGCTGTGTGCTAAACCGCTAGACCACCGCGGCCGTCTGAAGAAGCAGTATTCCGGTTGCGCTATGACGTCACGTGATGTTATAAGATCCGTCCTTCACCAGGACTCGAACGTGCGCTCCATTAACACGCTGTCAGACGGGGTATGCGTTCAATCTCCGTTTGTATCAACATTCAGTCTATTGACCGCCATCAGACGTAACCTAATTGGCACTCGTCCATCTTCAATTCATAAATTTACACCTCGAAAACTTTTTTATCTAACCTAGCTTCGTAATTAGAGGCACTTTACTGTAAAAATATATTTAGGAAGCTCATTATTTTAATTATATCAACTCATCTTTATATCTATGTATATAAAAAATATATACAGATATACATCCACGGCTTTGGTGTGGTCTAGCGATTTAGCACAACGCCTTACTTCAAATGATCGCAGATTCGATTCCTCGTACGATGCTAACATTTGTATTTATGTATGATTGTTTTTATCGGTCTGGTATATGTATATTATGTTTGTATTTAAAAAAAATATCTATTTATTTAATATAGTTTAATATAGTTGTCTAGTACCCATAAAACAAGCTGTGCTTATCTTGAACCTAGATGGCGCTGTGTGAATTGTCCTGAGATATTATTATTATGACCTACTTGTCTGAACTAATATTATACAGATGAAAGTTTAGATTTTTGTTTATAATTCATGTACTCAGAAAATACTTAATCGATTTAATTAATTCACGTATAGAAACTATGTTTTTACGAGAATTGGTACACACGGCTGTGCTTAATGGTATACGCTGGTATGGCACCAGTGGAAGATGATAGGATGAGCATGGTTTCAGCCTTATTGTAACGGTACATGTGTCCTTTGATTATTGTTTGTACCTCTTCTTTATTGTACTGCAAATAAAGTATATATCTACCTTGCTTACCATTACAACCATACAAACAAATACTGGTAATTTAGTTTATCATATAATCCATTAACACAAGCCCACAATAATTGGGCCCCGAACCGTATTCCTTACAGTAATCTTTTCATTTTCCTTTTCACAAGGGAATTCTCTATCTAATCTACCTTTCGCTGTGTTAATGGAATTTGGGAATAGGGTATGCCAAGTCGCTCGGAAACGTGACGAGCTCTAGTCGCTGATATAGCATTAACATATGCCTGATCGAGGGAAGGGGATTGTTAGTAATGTATATTATTAAACCCCATTGCTAGCAATGTACAATGTAAGATTGACCTTCACGCGGTTCCCCTTGTAAACTATTAAGTTAAATTTCTGGTGAATTTGCCATGATGGGCTAATTAATTGACCTAATACTCACCTTCCTTCATCCTTTACTGATGGTCTAGCGGTTTAGCCTAACGACTTGCTTCTGATGATCGCGGGTTCGCGTCACACATACAAAGTCACATATTTGTATTCATAAGTATGATTCTTTGTATAGGTCTGGTGTTTTCTATGTATAAGATGTATGTATTTACGATAAAAAAAAATACTTATGTATTTGGTGGTCTAGCGGTATAGCCCACCGACTTGCTTCTGATGGTCGCGGGTTCGATTCCTCACACGATACAAACATTTGTATTCATGAGTATGATTCTTTGTATAAGTCTGGGTGTTTTCTATGTATATTACGTATGTATTTACAAAAAACGTATCAATGTATTTATATTAGTTGTCCAGGACACAAGCTCTGCTTAGCTTGTCTTGAGATATTATTACTAGTAGTGCCCGCGG